GATTCAATGACAGCTGTTCATCTTGCAATTGTCTTAAACGATATTTGCTACCTATTAACATGCATTTTGTTTTATTAACATTTAATTTGAGGTCGTTTTCACATAACTACTCGTTTATATTTAATAGTTCCTCATTCAAACATTCTGAGATTTCATTAGTTGTCCTAGAACAGTACAACATGTGTCGTCGGCAAACAGTTTTATCTTACACCTTTTAACATGTATCACAATATCATTTATGTACAGCAAGAATAGCAGTGGACCCAATACTGACCCACTCCAGAAATTACATTTAAAGTACTGGATGTCACTTAATTATATTTAACTAGCTGCTTCCGATATGTGAGGTAATTTGTGAACCATTTTAATACTTTATAATCTAGTCCATACTTATTTAATTTCATTAAAAGTAACTCAATGTTGACCGTCTCGAATGCCCTTTTGAAATCCAGAAAGACAACACCTATAATACGTTTTTTAGATAGCTCAACTTTCCACGAAGAGATTAAAAATTGCATTGCAGTTTCACATGAATGGGATTCCCTAAATCCAGATTGTTCTTTAATCAAAATATTATGTTTCGCTATAAATTTCATCAATTGCTCTTTCACTGTGATTTCTAATATTTTCTCATAAATTGGCAGGGTATTTATGGGTCTAAAATCAGATCCTATAACGGTGTTTGTAATTTTTTCAATAGGAACGATGGTGGCAATTTTCCAACCATCAGGAAATGTTCCAGTGGTTAACGATAAATGTATCAAGTCCAAAAACCTATTTCCCAGTATTTCAAATGTTAACTTGATTATATTCATATTAATTCCATTGTCATCTGTATTATTTTTCTTGAGGAAAAAAATTATCTTTTTTAACTCGCACATATTCAATGTTTCAAATTCCCCAAGTATCTCATTTGTTAGTATAATATAACTGAGAACATGATTATAATCATTTATTGGTACTATACTTTCGGTTAAATCTTTCAAACTGTCAACGAAAAATGAATTAAAATATCCTGCTACTTTTGCTTCATTTGTTATAAGAACACTATCAAATTGTATACCTTTGAACTCTTATTTTCTATTTCCCTTTACTAAACCTTTCAGTGCTTTCCACATAGTCCTACTGTTTCCTTTATTTTCGTCGATCTTTGATTCATAATACTTTTTAGTTTCAATTCGTATCTTTTTGGTAACGAAATTACGACTTATTTTATATTTATCCCAGTCACATTGTAGTTTGGTTTCCTTGGCTTTTTTTATGAAGAAAATCGAGTTTTTTTAGATCTGCCATGATTTCGTCTGTAAACCACACTTTCAATTTGAAATTATGCTTCCTTTTGAATGGTGCATGTATGTATTGTTATGGAGAATCGTCGAATCACTATTAAAGAAGTTGCTGAGAATGTTGGCATGTCGGTTGGCTCATGCCATGCAATTTTTTCGATAATTTTGGGCATGAAGCATGTGGCAGCGAGGTTCGTTCCAAAATTGCTGAATTCTTACAAAAGAAATACGTCGCATGAGCATCGCTCAATAATTGTTGAATGGCGTCAACGGCGATCTAGATTTGCTTAAAAGGGCCATAACTGGTGACGAATCATGGGTATATGATTATGACATTCAAATCAAAGTCCAATCGTCCCATTGGAAGAGCCCAAGAGAGCCAAGACCAAGAAAAGTACGCCAAGTTCGTTCAAATGTCAAGTTTTTGCTCACCGTTTTCTTCGATTACCGTGGTGTAGTGCGTCAGGAGTTCTTGCCACATGGTCGTACGGTCAATAAGGAGTATCATCTTGAAGTTATGCACCACTTGCGAGAAGCAATTGGAAGAAAACAACCGGTATTGTGGAAAAACAATTCATGACTTTTGCATCACGATAATGCACCTGCTCACTCGTCATTACTTGTTCGAAATTTTCTTATCAAAAACAACCTCATGTTCACCAGATTTGGCCCCCTCGCGACCTTTTCCTTTTTCCAAGATTGAAGAGGATGGCGTTTTGCGACAATTGAGGAGATAAAAACAGAATCGCTGAGAGAGCTCAAGGACATACCTAAAAGTGGATATCAGAAATGCTTAGAGAATTGGAAAATAACGGTGGCACAAGTGTATTATGTCTGAAGGGGACAAAATTGAAATTGATCAATAATTTTTTTTTTTTAAATAAAAATTCACCTTATTTTTTTAACATAGTAGTAAATTAGAAATCAAAGATTAAATTACAAACTAACACAATATCAAAATAATTTTGAATACTGTGTCGAGGAGAGATACACGTTTATGTACAAGAAATTTTCTTATAACACAATAACTAATACTAGAAATTCATTTAATGACCCTCATTTGATGATCGTAATTACTAAAAGTAATTATTTGAATCTAAAATGGTTGTAAAATTTAGTTTTTTTTTATCACCTCCTGATGATGCTGATAACTCTGTTAGCGACAGGCATGTCGTACAGTGCTATAGTTCTGGTGTGGAAAAAGTGTTTTTATTATATTCACTTTATGCCAGAAGTTCCAATATATTATCAAGTAAATTATTACCTAGTTTTCTGTTTTCCTAATATTTCACCAAATGCGATAGTATCATATTTGACAAATCGTTCTCAAGTGACAGTAATAAATAATAGCTAATCTGACTGTAAGAGTGCTGAGTTAGGAGTACTGAGTTAGGAGTACCCCAGGGGTCTATATTGAGACCAACTCTTATAATATTTTCAAATGACATCTAAGATACCTGTACCACACCAAACAGAATGATACTTTATGCTGATGACACAAATATACTCTTAGCCCATAAAAACTTGGGAAGTCTGGTAAACTTGGGTAATTATGCATGTGATGAATTCATCAGTAAATACTGTAGCGACAATGACCTTGTCTGCAATATAAAGAAAACTATGTTTATCAATTTTTTACCCAAGAACGGTACCTCGAATCCAGATCTAATGAACAACATCAATATGTATGGTGAAACTCTGGAATACTGTCAGGTTGCTAGATTTTTAGGAATACTCCTGGATCAAAAGCTAACATGGGAGGCACATATCGACAGTTTATGTGTAAAGGTTGGCAGTGCAAACTACGTAATTCAGAATCTGCGAGACACTGTCTCTGCAGAAGTTATAAAACTCATGTATCATGGACTGGTACAATCAAGGATACAGTATGGATTGATCATCTGGGGTAACTCTGCATATACTGACCGCATTTTTAAGGTTCAGAAAAGTCATTCGCTGTATGGACAAGTCTCGTCCACTGGACTCTTGTAAACCACTGTTTAAAAAATTCAACATTCTACCGTTGCAGTGCCTATACATATTACAGCTAGTGTTATTTATCTATGATAATAAACACCTATATCCAAAAAACTCTGATATACATAATTACGCTACTCAGGGTGAACATACTTTATACCACCCCTACTCTCAATTGAGTGTGAGTCAAAATTCCCCAAAATTCTTGGGTATTAAATGTTTCAATAAAATAACAACTTTTATAGGGATCAATAAAAGTAGAACTGTAATGAGGAATAAACTATATGATTTCTTGTTGGATAACTGCTTCTACAGTATGGATGAATTTCTTGCTTTTAGTGCTTAGATGAATGACTTAGTTTATTTTATACATGTAGTCTTCTCTTTTAAGTTTGTTCAAGATCAAACATTTGTGTTTTGCTTTTAGCTTTTTACTTTTGACTAGTCCAATAAGTTTTCTTATGTACCTATTCAGTCTTGTAATTATGTATGTGTGAAAATTTCAGTGATGAATAAAACTATTTCTATTTCTATTCTATAACTGATATTATTGATAGATGTAACCAGAGTTTGAAAGAATCATATTCGTGAACCAATAGATAGCATCGCTTTTCAGTTGTCCTAATTTTTTGTAGTACACCACATATAAATGTGGAATAACAGAACAAAAATAAAATCACATTCATGAACCAATAGCAGTTAACCCTTTCTATATGAGTGTCGGTTGTATACGTACGTCCATGTGAGTACGAGTGTCGTACAAGTTTAAATGATAATGGACAACTTCACGAGTGTCTTACGAATACGGCGAGCTGGACATGTGTAATATAACATGTGTAATATAACTATATCTGCAACCTCAGCGGCTGCGCATTTGATAGTCAAAATATTACTGTTTAAGGCACGTGTTTCAGTCAGTGTCATTTTGTCATAGGGTAAACACTGTAAACATGTCTCGCAGGTATTTAACCCAAAAAGGGTTGGAAAATATAGCCGACAATTTATCTGACGTGGATGATAACGAGTGTACCTTCAGCAGTGGAAAAAGGGAAGATGAAGAGAGATACGATGATGTGCGGGAATAGGATGATGAGCCAGAACACGATGAACCGCCAGATAACATTGAATCTGATGAAAATGAAACAAATTGTGTTCTATACTAACCCTTTATGACTCACGGCAAGACACTTCATAAAAAAGATACCGAAATCCAAACCTACTGCAAAACCTCCCGTTAGAAGGTGTGCAGTATGTTCTGCGAATAAAAAAGAACTGAAACAACTTACCAGTGCGACATTTGTAACGTCGGATAGTGTGTGAAACCTTGCTTTGAGCTGTATCACACCAAAAAGACGTTCTGAATTTTGAAAGTATTCCTTTATCTTTTCTTCCTTCAAGCCGTAGAATTATCTTTAATTTTTTTGTGGAAAAAAGATTGATTTTTCTTATGAATAAAATGAGTATTTTGCATTTTTTTTCTGTTCTGTTCTGAGTACGACTTTTGTACGTATACGTCAAATAAAAAACCTGCGTACAGGGAGTACTGCATAAAAGAACACCCTCATATAGAAAGGGTTAAGCAATCTTTATGTTGTGCACAAAGTATGAAATCAATTTCCAGGAATTAAAATTTGAAGTTAAAAATGTATGAAACTACCACGTTGAAGATTTTTCAGTGAAAGAGGAAGGGCTTTAAAAAAAGAATCTCTTGGCTTGAAATTGTCTTTTTGTTTACATATTTTTAGATATGAATTTCGCATTTACAGTAGAAGATTAATAATACGCATTTATTATTAGTGAATTGTTATTATTTTTATATAACATACCTTGCTTCCTTGCATGATGAAGGTTAATAGTATGGGTTCGTACTGTGGTGGTAAACTTCTTAGTAGTATCGTATTTTCTTGTAATCTAGGTTCCTCAAGCCACAAAGAGAATGCCTGAAATACTTTCAGACATGCCTGATTGAATTGTTTTCTGTCTTCTTGTTGATCATCCTCTTCCTTGCTATCCAATTTGCTTTCAAAATATTCAACAGATTCTTGAAGTCTTCTCTTAATTCTCTTCAGAAATGCGAAATTTATGTAACCATCAAAGAATTTCTCACCAACACAACATTTCTCTACATCACTTGAAATTGGAATTCGTGCTAGATATAAACTGAAAAATTTTTGCCACAGTAAAGGCAACAATGGATGGTCTAAAGCAGTATCTAGAGCTAGTTGAGCCCATCGATATATGCATAAGAACCCAGAAGTGAAAGATTGTACCTTCACAGCACTGGAAGCTTTCTGGAAAAAATATTCAAAATAGTAATTTTCTGAAAACTATAAACTATAAATGATTCATTGCTGGGCAGTTTACGAAGGTTTGTTTTTTGTTTGAAAACAAATCTAATTAGAGTAAATAAAATATGAGAAACTTTCATCGAAAGGAAGAGAAATTCACATATATCATTGAAAATGTACGCACAAAGATGTGTTTCAGATGTGAACTGTACGGATTTATTGGTATATAGCATCATATTTATATTGAAACTTACCAAGAAATATTGAATAAACAGAATTATATTTACTTTAAAAAATGAAAGTTACAGACACTTTGATTTGTTTTAGACTATAAAATTTCAGTTGATAACATTTTCTCTCTGAAATGTTAGTTAATTCAGCACTTGCTTGTGTTCATATCTCTCTTTTTAGATATTAGTTTTTATTTTATTTTTAGATATTGACATAATCCATACAAGAAATTTACTTGGCGAGGTTAACTTCATTCATAAGTTCATTAATCATCTCTTTACAATTTATTTATTTTGTAATAGTTCATAATTTGAATAAATAAAACTTTATTATCTGAAACAACTACTTCCTCTGATAAATATCAAAAGAAATCACTTTTTCTTTCTCAATTTATCATCAAACTTTCATAATGGAAGCTGAAACTCATTCATAAGAAAAGTATTTTGGATATTTGGCGATCTTCCTTTACAAATTTCCAATTATATTCCTGAGAATGCTAGGCAATGAAATTGATTAAAGAGAAAATTCTTTTTGGCTTTCTATTTCTCTATCAAAAATTGTGGAAAACTTCCAAAGGAAGGAAGAAATCAATCAAGTTCAAAATAAATTTTTTACACAAAGATGTGTAGATCATACATAGAAGTCCCTTTCAGATACAAACCATAAAAAACTTCTGTGAAATAACTTCTTTCACATGAACATTGAATTACACAAAAGAAAAATTAGTTTTGTAATAACTATTCCCAAATGAACATTGAATTATATGAAAATCACTTTTTCCTATTCAGTTTGCACTCCAAACGTTCATTGTGGATTCCAAACAGATATCAATCATAGAAATGCTACACAATATATGTGAAAGAGTTATGGTATGAAATTTCAATTGCATGTGAGTGTAGGGAAAATTATTATTATAAAGGTATCAAGTTTTACAATGAATTACCAAATATTTTGAAAAGTTTTAATGAAATTCCGAATTGGTTTGAAAAAATATTTATTGCTTTGAAATTGTACAGGGTGAGTCAACAACATTCCCTCGATCCATTGCTATTAAGGAAAACAATTTTTCAAATTGCTCAATTTTTTTTCGCAGTCATATCGATAAATACTATTTTTTTAATTATTTTCTCGCATACTGGGTGATTCAGCCGAGCGTGGCCAATCAAAGTTATATTTTTTCAAGTGGAACACCCAGTATATGAATGCATCATTCGATTCCATATTTTTTTAGCTCTCTAAGGAATTTTTGTTTTCGAATTTCCACTGCGGCATTGCCAAGTTATTCCAGAAAAACCTATTTTGCAGACAATATTTTATTAATGCACCACCCGCATATCTACAACAATTAAGTGGATTATTTTTAGGAATAGTTAGTCAATATCACAATGATAATTTCGAGAATCTCAACTTTCGGTAAAACCGGTCAAGTTTCATAAAAGACTATCTTTAAAAATTATTTTATCGCATACTGGGTGATTCAGCCGGCAAAGTTATATTTTTTCAAGTGGAACACCCAGTATATGAATGCGTCATTCGATTCCATATTTTTTTAGCTCTCTAAGGAATTTTTGTTTTCGAATTTCCACTGCGGCATTGCCAAGTTATTCCTGAAAAACCTATTTTGCAGACAATATTTTATTAATTCACCACCCGCATATCTACAACAATTAAGTGGATTATTTTCAGGAATAGTTAGTCAATATCACAATGATAATTTCGAGAAGCTCAACTTTCGGTAAAACCGGTCAAGTTTCATTCCTTTTCAAACAGACATAATTCAACTTTTTCAAATGGAACACCCTGTATTTTTTCATTTGTATGAAGTGTTTCCAAAAGAGTCCAAAAGATGTTCAAAATGGCGACCATTTTCTGCAACACATAATGTCAGTCTTTTTTTAAACGAATTCTCTACACATTCCAGCACATCCTCTTGGATTTCCCTGAAAGCTCTAGTGATTCTTCGTTTCATCTCTTCTATAGATGTTGAAAGAGTTTGGTAGACAATCCATTTGATATACCCCCATAAAAAAAAATCATTTTGGTCAGGTCAGGTGATCTGGATGGCCACACCACAGACCCACTCCTACCTATCTATATTTGATTGAAATGATCGTTGAGGTATTCCCGTACCTCCGTTTTAAAATGTTGCACCGTTTTGTTGTAGCCACATTCTAAGTCTTGTTCCATATGGAACCCCGTCCAATAAATTCGTAAACTCATGCCAGTGAGATGCCCATCCAAAAAATACGAACTGATAACTTTTTTCCGAGAATTCTACCCCAAATATTCAGTGACCAACGCTGTTGATTGGGACTGTGGTGTGGCCATTCATTAAAATGGAACTGTGATTGACATGTTATGCCGATTCACAGTTCCATTTTAATGAAAAGTCATTCCATCAGAAAATAACAAGAAATTGAAAAAATAATTTTCCTGATTGATCTTTTCTAAGCCCCATCGGCAAAATTGAACACTTTTTCAAAATCTCTTTCTCCTAACTCTTGAATCAATTGCATGTGGTAAAGATGAAATTTGCTTGCTCGTATCATTCAAAACACGCTGGTTTGAGAAAATCCTAATTCCCTGCTCAGGTCTCGGGTACTCACATGGGGTTTTTCAACAAGGTGAAGAGCAATTTCAAATGTATTCTCTTCTTTTGTTGCAGGGCAGACACATTCGAACTTCTCGTGATTGACATTTTCAGTTCTTTCAAATCTTGTTTTTAGAGCCTGAAATGCCCTTCTATCTAGTTGTCTTCTTTCAGGGAACTTCTCTTTGTAAATCCTAGATGCAAGGAGGCAGTTTCCGTCACTTTCCCCCAAAGCATCGACCATTTGCACCATATCTTCCAATACTTAATTCATAATGAAAATGATTCAATTTACACGCGAAAAAAACTTCAACACATGGCGATGACAAATTCCGAGATTCATTTTTTGATGTCAGTCATGGATAACTGGGATTTTAAAGAAAAAAGCAGTATAAATATTCTTTAGGTTTTTTACGCATTTCTTACGTTGAAACCGCTGATAACTATCACTAGATGGTATGAAAAATGCTAATGCACTGACAATTAGTTTGAATATTCGAAAAACAAATTTGAGTAAGTGAACGTGCGAAAATACATTTTTTGTGGTTACAACAATTAGTAAAACTTGGTATAATTTATAAAATATCAGTTTTTCGTATAGTATACCTCTGATAAAAAATGTAGTGAAATGTTGAAACATTTCATACAAATGAAGAAATACAGGAGGTTCCATTTGAAAAATTTGAATTATGTCTGTTTGAAAATGAATGAAACTTGACCGGTTTTACGAGCACCCTATATATTGTTTCCGAAAGTTGAGATTCCCGAAATTATCATAGTGATGTTGACTAACTATTCCAAAAAAAATCCACTTAATTGCTATAAACATGCGGGTGATGAATTAAAATATTGCCTGCAAAATAGGTTTTTCTGGAATAACTTGGCAATGCCGCAATGGAAATTCGAAAACAAAAATTTCTTGGAGAGCTAAAAAAATATGGAACCGAATGACGTATTCATATACTGGGTGTTCTATTTGAAAAATATAACTTTGGTTGGCAACGCTCGGCTGAATCACCCAGTATGCGAGAAAATAATTGGTTCTTCTAATAGCAATGGACCGAGGGAATCTTATTGACTCACCCTGTATATATATATTCTCTGAGGTGCATTTTTATGAGTACAATGTTGATTATCTTTTTTTATTATTATTATACTATCAAAGTATATTCAATTATCTATTTTTTTTTAGTTTCAGTTCTGATTTTTTTTTGCTTTGTCCGTATGAAGTTATAGTTTTGAATTATTGTATCTTCCCTACTATAAACAGGAGTGTTTCTTGAAAAAATAAGTCCTTTTTTTATCAAAAGGCAGTACATTTTTTACTTTCAAATTATGTCTCCCTCTCCCAGTTTTCATCTTTCCTTCCCTCATCTCCCTCTCTTTCTATAAGTAGTTCAAAAACATGTTGAAAATTTTCCGTAAAACACGCAATATTGCCACAACAATAACTATAACTATAGACTTACCTTTATGGCTTGATCAACATTTACTTTGCCTTTCTGTTTGGTTAACTGCACAAGAATTTCACTCCACAATCCAGTGCGAATTTCTCTTTCCTCGTGTTCAACAGATATCATGACGTAAGCAAGCCAAGTATAACTGGAAAGTGAATTGGATATCAAACTACCATTGGTATTGGTACTAGAAACCCATTTTAATAACGAACTTATAGTTCCAGTCTGTTCTTGTGGCGTACCACACTGAAATGTAAAATTATAATTAAACATCTATATTTTATTGTAACTCTCAATAAATGAATACTTTCATTTGAAAAACATTCCATTAAGATCTAATATGATATTGAAAAGTTTAGTATATGGTTTTTTCCAATATACACATGCCTAAAATAGAACTCATTTTGAATTAAAATTCGTTTAAAGTGCTATTGAGTGATGCTGTTTGTATTACTTTGAATATGAGGACTTTTAGATATCTAGTTATCTTAGATCGGTACTTAAATTCATCGGTGAGTCCACCAATGAATTCAAAACGTTAGCAAGTTTCTATTGGTTGGAGCAATCTATCGAATTTTTAAAGAACTTGCCTGAATCTGTAAAATTTACGTTAAAAAGAAGGATATTGAGCGAAATTGTGTATATTAAAAAAAATTAGTATCAAGCCATCATCAAGTACCTGCATTTGAAGGAATTAAAAGATAGGCAGATAAAAAAATATTTGCTTATTAACAACTTTGACGACCAATTTCCTTCATATGTGACCGTGGAAAATGGGATTGCAAGCTTCAAAAGGGGTGAATTTTCCATTGATGATGAAGACTGATCAGGAAAGCCAGTATCTGTGTCCACCCCCATAAATATCGATTGAATTCATGACATTTTACCAAATCATCGAATTGGGCTAAAATGACTGTCTGAGGCGCTGAATATTCCGAATGAAAACGCGTCCAACATAAAGTGGACGTCGAATCGTATGTAACATTTTTTTGCAAAATGGATTTCCAAATGTCTGAATGTTAACCAGAAAAATGCAAGAGAAGCATTGCGTTTGATCTGTGCGCTGTTTGAAAATATACAAACCTCTCAATTTGTTACTGTGGACTGAATTTGAGTATATTTCCATGACTCAGGAATAGAAACAACAATTGATGTAATGGAGACTCTTTAATTCTCCAAGAACTTAAAAATTTCAAATTCAAAAATCTACTAGAAAAATTCTTGCTACATTTTTGGAATTGCGAAAGAGTAATCATGATTGATAATTGGAAGAACCATAACCGGGAACTACTAGTCATAGTTACTATGATAAAATTATGGAGAGATAAACAGAAAAGTTAATTTGTTTGTTGGCATGCGAACAATTTGTTATTCAAGCTTTGAATTACTCAAAAACTTACTCATTGTATTATTTTGCTCAACCCTTGCATGATACCCATATCCATCTTGGGCGGTCCACCATATTGTATTTCAAATCATGTTATTTGTTTAATTCATTTTAGTAAACTCTTTCATTTGATACCGATATACGATATAATGGCGGATCGCTATCTTTGATAAGAGGCTAAACTGCCCAGTCCGTACCAAAGTTGCCAAGTGTATCCAGTTTTGTATTTCTCGGGAATTACAAACTATACTTTAAAAATCAGGTTATGTATTAGAACTTGCTTTAGTTATACTGTGGTTTCCTTGTTCTTTATCTACCTGTATAGAAATTTGAATTCAGAAAATGCCAGTTATTTGTAGCATATGTGAGAAAGTATATGCCACACAATCATTGATAAAGGGTGAGATAGAATAAAAAATTCAAACAGTTTATATCTAAAAAAGGGTTGATTGAATTTGTTATACTCTGTTGTAGGTTATATCCTCAATGACAACAGTGATCAAAAACATAGATTCTTGAAGAGCCAGGGATCTTGTAAAATAAATAGTTCTTGCACAAGCAAAATCAAAGTTTTTAAGGAAAACAACAAAATTCTGGTTGAGTGTTAAAAAGTACATTACGGTCATAAGCTTGATATACAACATATTAGATTGCCAAAAACCGAAAAACAAAATGTTGCCACAAAGATAATGAATGGTGTTGCACCTCAAAGGTAATCATGTTTTATACTTATGTTATTATCAAAGACTTATTAATAAATAATTCTAATCCCAATTTTTGCAGAATCCTGTGATTTAGATGTAAAATAGCATCTAAATATTCACTTATCAATTTTGAATTATTCATATCTTCTACCAGAGCATTAACATAACCAATTTTTCACAGAATCTTAGAATCCACTCCTGATGAAATTGGTGAACATTTGAAAAGAGTAGATTTGTTAACTACTAAGGGTCTGAGGAATATAAAAATAAGCTATGGTCTTGAATTGAAAGATGGAAAGCGAGATTTTAATGATGACTTTTCTGTGGCTCTTTGGGTGAAGGAGTGTGAAAATCTCGAAGAAAATCTTATTTTGTTGTGTAAAGAGCAGGGAAAGGACCCTAGTTTTTTCAGAAAAGAGGACTTTTGCTTGATAATAATGAACACATTTCAAAGACAAATGATGGAAACAGTTTCCATCTATAATTACCATTGATAGTACACATGGCCTAAATGACTATGATTTTGAAATGACAACCATTATGGTCTTAGATGAATATCACCAAGGATTTCCAGTAGCGGAAATGTTCACAAATAGAAAAGATACCATAGTGTAGAGTGTATTTTTTTCAGCAATCAAGGACACCATAGGTATATACAGTCTTTCATTAATTTGTTTTGGTGGTGGTTGGTAGCTATGGTTGTTTCATTTCAGGAGTTATTGATTGTAAATTTTTCATGTCAGATATGGCTAAGGTGTTTTTTAATTCATGGTATGGGGAGATGGGTCCGCCTTATCCACAACACTTTGCTCCTGGTATGTTGACAGAGCTTGGCAGAGCAATTTGAATAAAATTTCTAATAAGGGCAAGCGTTTAGAAGTTTACAAAATACTGAAAATATTGCAACAAGAAACTTTTGAATCAAACTTTGTTTCAGCTTTGGAAAATGCTTTGAGTTTTATATGTTCAACAATGAAGTCACATTTTGGAGAGTATTTTTCTAATATCTACAGCCAGAATTAACACAAATATGCTTTTGGAGTCAATGTATAAAGTAATCAAATATTTCTTCTTGGAAAGAAAGACAGTAAAACGCCTTGACAAAGGTTTAAACATGTTTAAATATGTAAGAGACAAGAGTGTAGAACGAATTATTACATTGAACAAGAGTGAAAATACCAAACAAACAAGACTGATATCTCAGAATCACAAGAAGGCAATTAAAAATAGCCATGAGTATACAATTTTGAAAATTGGTAATAACTTGAAAATTATCAAACAAATGTATGTTTTTTGTTTGATGATAAACTGTTATTTTTATAAAGTCGTTTTTAGTAGCGTACTTCCTAAGTTACATTTTGAATTTCCCGCAAAATACAAACTAGGTACACTTGGCAACGTTGATACGGACTGGGCGGTTTAGCCTCTCGTCTATCTTTGGCGGTCCACCATGTTGAATGCCATCCAAAATAAACTTATGAAAAATTTCAGCTCAATTGGTTGGGGACAACTGCTTCAACATTCAGTTGCAAGATTTGACTCGAACTAACATACATACATAAATGCTAGCGTACGTACATTTGTGCGTGCGTTTGATACTTACATACACATTTTCATATCTGCATAATAGCACACCTGCACACCTACAAACCCAAATCCCTCCTCCCATTATTCAACAAACTTCCGCATAATGTAAATGAATTGAATTCAAATATTATCAATCCAAATATTAGCTTGTAAGAAATTGTTTTTATTCTGTACTTGGATTCATTGCAAATACATATTTAAGCTGAATGTGCTGCATTTTTCAGACAGTTCTGTCCAACTTTCATAACTCGATTTTCTATATAACTAGTATGATACAACTAAATTGAAATATTTAATGCAAAAACTGGAAAAAAGAGAGGTCATTGTTGATCTCACACATGAAAGAGCAAGCAAAATAATACATGGTTTGCCATATATCATACAAGTCCCGTGAAAACAGTTCTGAGCTGCTCATAAGGAAGTAGTGGCTTGACAAAAAAAATTATTTTCAACAATTAGTCTACTAATGATAGTAAATTTACAAATTGTACTCACTTGTTGCTCTCGAAGTATATTGTAAATGACATCTAAGGCATCTTGGTACATGAAAGCCGTTTTTGTAATAACATCTAAAAGATACAATATACCAGAATCTTTATTCCAACCAGTTACAGACACTAGTGAATTGATCCATAAGCGAACCAGGCATCTTGGACTATCGAGATCATAATATGTATAGTTCACAATTTGAGTTTCAACCATATTCCCAAATTGTTGTAAAACTGTATTCTGAGCATATACCAAACTTTTCGCCATAGAAATATATCCTCTGTCTGCGTTCAATAAATTCATTAAAATATTTTGAAATATTTCCAAATTTATAACACACTCTTGACAGTTGATGAATAGAGGAACAATCAAATAGAGAGTAAAAAGAACAGCTTCATGTTTTTGTTGTGTTTGCAGATACAGCAGTTGGGAGAATCCTTTTGTGCAAATCAGTGGTACTAGATGACCCCAAGAAGTCATCAACACAGTGACAAATAATGCTAAGGGTTGTTGTTCTCTCACTCCTTAAAAAAGAGTCATAAATGATTATATAACTTATTAAGAATCACATTACCTTTCACCAATATATTATATCGTTCCATTTCTTGAATTCTTCCAATTTCTTTGAAAGATTTGTCACTGATATGAAGTCTCAGTCTCAAAATTGTTTGCCAACCCCAATTTTCGATACCTGGTTCTTGTAGTACAGCATTAACCACCAGTAAAGCTACATTACAATGTATATCATGTGGAATTTCGTCCCAGTTGAGCCTAGATAAAATCATTCTCGATAATTTATTCTCGTTGGATGTAATAGAGTTGTTCAACAATAACCTGAAAGTGCAAATATATAAAATCAAATTAGCTGATTTTCTGAAATTGACATTTATGAAGCTGTGATTAGACAAAAAAAATGATAAATCTGCAGTCTGGTATCATGACAAAACAAACCTGGAAATGGTTTCCAAATCATTTTCTGAGAATTTCCAAATAGATAATGGTAACTCTTCGTAAAGATACAGTGACAATGAGCCAATTTTTTGTATGTTATCCTTCACTTCTTTCAAAATATTGGAGAGTAAATGGGGATACTTTGACGTGATATGCGTTAATAATATTCTAGCTGATTTAGAACAACTCTCTTGACTGGCTTCACTAACAAATCCAACCTGAAAAAAATCAAAGATCAATTAAGTTCAAATAAACCTCAATTCACAGCTCGAACTTCAGAACTCTCTCAAAATGTCAAAAATGTGCTTTACTGTTCAAGAAATATAGTTCGTACTGACAAATATATTCAATACGGATTCTAAAATCTGTAAAAAAGATTCAGTGAACTTGTGCAGAGTATCATTAAAGACAATAATTGATAGAATATGTGGGGGTTGGTCTATGTTTATTCATTGTTGGAAAAGTTATTTTTTGACTCATGATCGTGACGTTGGTATGATTATAACTGTTCTATCAGTATGTGGATACTTTTATGTGGAACAAAATGGAACGATACCAGAATTACAACCAGGCCAAACTTTTTTTCAATATATGACAGAGACATACTCAATCAACTTGAACAATTCGAGATAATTATGTTTATGAAAAACATATAATTACACATGAAGACCTTCAATAACTGGTACAGAAATAACCTTACGTTGGATAATTTTTCAGCTTCTGTTTCATCAAAGTTGAAAAAGGATATTGTCGTACAAAAACGACCCCATCGTATATTGACCTAATTCAAGTTTTCACTAAAATTTTGGATATCCCATTCATGATTATCATCATTTCTAATCATCATAACTACGTGGTGTTATCAAAATTACCTGAATTCTTTTTGCGAAAATCATCAAATTTCTTGGTTTTCAAATCTCAACACGTGTTTCACTATACAACTTCTTCAGGCGTGTTCATACTGCCTAAATTCTACCAAATCGATGCTTTATATATTGAAATATTTCACAAATATGAATCATAATATTTTCAACTGATAATGTTATCTATGTTTCAGTATAAATTAATTGAAAATTTGAACAACATGATTAAATTTACATATAATGAACTGACTATCAAATTCCTCATTAGAAAACAGATTCAATAGCGGGAAAGAATTCAGATCTGTTTGGTTATTGAATACATTTTCGGGATTTCCAAAAATATCAATTTTCAAGCATTCTGAAAGGTTTTCCCTGTTTGGCCAATCNATGTGAATTCGTTTTCCGATGGCATTCCAGGAAAGTTTCCCAAATTATAAATTCATTTAAATAGACATGTATTAAAATTAAATTACCTGAGTTTACATATGTATCAACTACTTACCAATCACAACATAAAAAAGATTCAATTCAATTTTCATTTTCCTGCTACAGTGACACACTCCCCACCTATAACACTATTATTCAAAAATGGACATATTCAAATAACTTCAGTCACTCACATAAAATATTTAGGGATAATAATAGACAATCATCTCAAATGAAATCATCTTAAATGGAACTGTCACTCCGAATATGTAAGAAAAAAATTGAGAAGCGTTGGTTCGATATGAAATATCTAACAATTTTATATAGTTCACTGGTACAGCCACATTTATTTGACGAGATAAAAGTATGGGGTGGAATAGCCGATATACATTTAAAATATTCAGAAACTCATCAAAAATGGATTTTGAAAATTATATATCGAAAAGATATTACATATCCCATGGAATCACTATTTTCTGATTCCGAAAATTTAGACATTTGACAACTCTACTATCAATCACTAATAAAATATCATCATAAGAATAAAGGTAAACTTCAGTCAATACAACATATACACAACACCCGCATTAAAACCAAAACAACTGCTATCCCGAAAATTAATACGCAAAAAAGTAAGACATCACTTGTCTATCTTTGTCCAGTCCTATACGCTGATATTCCGGAAGACTTAAAAAGCATTCAATTCATTATCCTATTGAAAAAAATTGAAGAAATGGTAGCTCAATTCTTCTAGGAAAATGATTCATCAATTCATCAACAGAAAAGATTCAACATAATAAAACCAATAACAAATTCGGTAACATTATTTATAATAAACTCTTGACGAATGACCTGAACCTTTATTCTTGAACTTATTAACCATAATTCAGCAATAATGTAATATCAAATCAACATACATTATTTCTTTCAATTCCACGTTTTTACCTTTTCATTTTGTATATTACTAATAAAAATTAATTTCTGTACTATTAATATACATATATAATAATGTTATATGCCACTAATATACACCACTAATATACATCACACGTATGCTCAAGGGTAACTTTTGACCTTTTTTTTTGGTGTTCTTATTCATTTACCAATGTGTATTTCTATTTTTATTCCTACTATTTATTTTGTATATTTCTTTTGGTGAATAAATTGAGTGATTGATTTGGTCATTCAATAAATGTTCAAAATTTTCAATCTATTTATATAGTAATATAGATATATTACTATTCACTCCAATTAATTATGCAAATAGCATATCTATTCTTATGAAAGAATTGAAACAACAATTCAGTATGCCAAATGATTACTACCTTCCATTCACACAGGAAACAGAAATTAAATGAAAATATCTAAATATAAATTAATCTATTTACCTCCAACAAATCCATAGTGGCAGAATGAATGAAATCCATATCCTTCTCAGTTCTTGCAAGAGCCATATTAGCGAAAGTGTTCAACAAATAGTACACCTCTCCATCTTCTAAAGATCCCAGCTTTTCCTCAAACTGCCCTCTGAATCCCTCTTCCCATATTTTCACGGAATAATTTTCCATATATAAGGGATTCAGAATATCTTTGGCAGAACTATCCTGGCTGTGTAAAAAATAAAATATTTTCCACAGAGTTGGCAGTGTTACCATATTATAAGGTATTACAGCTAGAAATTGCCATGCACCAAGTTTTTGTGAAGAGTATAGATAGTAAATGGCCCTCAGGAAAAATGCATCGTATTCAACCTGAAGTCTCTCCAGCATGGCTTTGTCTTCGATAATCTGCACCTGTAACTGAAGTACCAGCTAGATATTTGAGTCCAAAATGTAAATGAATTACCTTTAAAAACTGTTCCCATTGATCGGTAGCATACTGAACAACATGCCGAATAAATCGACTGAGTCTCTTTGAAAATTGATTGTATCTTGGTTGATTATAAGTTTGAAGTCCTTTGTGTAATATTTTTAACAAAACTGTTGAGAATGCAAGATATCTTAGTAGGTGGTGTTCTGTTATTACCGTGATGTCATAAGAGTCCTAAAAACAGTTATGTAATTTTGAAGAAATACTAATATTGAAATTACTTTACTTTGAAATCTCTATGTTGTACCAATAAAACGTTTCGAAATAAATCGTCCAAGGGCAACTGATTCAACAAAGCTACCAAATCATTTTCTTTCAAGGACGTTCCAGTTGATTCCTCATCTTCTTCTCCATCAGAATCTATTACAGTCCACAAGGCATCCGCCGCCATATCTTTATTTTGTGCCATATCTTCTAAAAACTCTTCTCTAGCTGTGATAGGTTTCAAAATCGTAGCAAGGACGGTAAGTATGTGATTCGTTTGAATATTTGCAAATGGAGAAGAGGAAGATCTCAAGTCTAGAGGCATTTGAATGAAGGATGATGCCCAAATACCTACACCAGCAGGACATCTGAAAAGTTATGTTTCAAAAGTTATTTGAAATAGAAGGAAAAACATCCAGATGGATTTTTCTTTCAGTGAGTTTTCTTAAACACAAAATCCATGATAACTTATATAAATAAACATTTCTTTTGTGAGATTTTCACTAAACAGTTTATAAAACCACAAAAAACGTGTGGTATGAATATGTTATACACTTTCTTAACCCAGAATAGAATAATAGAATAGAAATTGATTTAACTGAAGTTCGAAATTTGGGTACAAGGCTTAGATCATAATATTGAAAACTTCATTTGATCATTGGCTATATAACAAATGAAATTACATTTATGGAAATAGAAGTTATGCTAATAATTCGATAATCCTTTAAATTTATCACTAATGAAAAAAAAATTACGATCATCCTTTGGCAACAATGGGAAGTAATAACTTTTGCAGACAAATGAAAAGTGAAGTTCATCCAATAAACAACTATAATAATAATATTCAGCTCAATAGGATACATCCTAATACTATAAAAAAAGATATTGTTTTAATCATATCCTGATGATGCTAGGGAACTAACTTGTTAATTATTTTGAAGATGAAGATCACTGTCAACTTATAGTGCCTATTCTTCACTGGCATTCATTCTAAAGTAGTGATGAGAGTTTGGTCAAATCAAATAAGTAGACTAAGCTACCACAATAGTCAAAATTTGGCTGGATAATCATGTTATATGCAGTTATTTTAAAATAAGTAGATGGGTATAATGTTAAAACACCTATTTTGGTGGTTGTACCTAATCATTGTAGTTCATATTGTTCAGATATTTTTTGAAAGCATAATAGGAGATACCAAATATGATCTTTATCATGTATTAAATGAAAGTGATGCTTGCCGTAATCGGAATGATAAAATTGCGAATGAAACAAATTGCTGTGCCTCACGTTTCTTTTTGGAATGTTATAAAGTATTATTTCAAGTAATTCTGAACAGGAAATATGTTCATTAAATAGTTTATAAATATAACATAAGCCTGACTGAAATCTTTTAGTTTTCAGTGGTTTGGGCCTGAGATGTAAAATATCAGTATAATTATTGTGGTTTAGTATTTGTATTCTCATCTTGTGAGAGCAACTCAAAAATTTGTTTTTAATTCGTTCTGAGGTTGAATAATTAATTTGATATAGTGGGGGCAAACGATTGATGCTTATTCTAACAGTGATACAACTAAAGATAAATGAATTCTTTCATTGCTTCAAACGAGAATCCTGAACAATTGCGAATAATCAAACTTTTGAGAATTCAGTACTAATTTTATCAATATATTGAGCAAATCTAGTTTGTTCATCAAAAATTACTCCTAAATCTTTCACAATAGACTTATTATTCGAACGCTGACTATTCAACATATCTGATGTATTAGTTTCCTACTAACTTCACAATTAGAAATAGATTATTAGTAACACAACAAAAATATAATCTATCAAGATCATTTTGAATTGATTTCTGGTCATGAATGAACTTTATACAACAATGAAGGCAAACAATGTGACTCTTGTGGGACATTGGATGTAACTAATATGTTTCTAGATTTGCAACCACCAACACTTACTTGTGGTGTGCGACCACTCTAGGCTCCCAAACCAACTAACTGTTTCCAAAAACCGAAATTATGAATTTTTAGCAATAGAACATTGTGGTGTACTGTCTCGAATCCTTTGTAGAGGTCGGTATAAATGGCATCCATTTGGCCCCTACTCTTCAAATCCTTCCCATATTTGAGAAGATTTGAAAGAGTTGATTTATTTTGAGATAAACCATGTTGGTTTATGCTCAAACTTCCTCTACATGAGAAGTTCGGTTGGTCTGCTATTAAACTATCAAATTGAAATAAGTAAGTAAGGTTACAGCTTGAGGCTGACAATAGTGCAACTGCAACAAGGTTAAGAAAATAATATTCATGGTAATAGTTTATATCATTGATATAAAATAAAAACGAAAGAGGTCCTGTGGCACTCCAAATCCGTTTAACAGAAGCGGAAGATAAAACATTTTCTACCCTTGTGATCTATTTGTGATCTACTCTTTGATGAGCTGCCAGTAAAAGTGGCATTTAAACCATTTTATTATAAGTGCAACTTTTCAGATGAGAACATCAATATTTTCAAAAATTATTTACGGAATGACAACTGGAATGATATCTATATTCATTTGTGTCCCAACTTAGCCTACCAAGCATTTGCAGATGTCATGTTACACTATTTCGAGATCTCATTCCCGAATAAGAAGGTACACCAAAGGGGTGATAAAAAGAAACAAGCAACTAAGTATATTATGACACCTCCTCTAGTTAATCTTAAAAACAGTGTATCTCTTTACAATAGTCTACCCCAACATGATCCTCGTTTCAGGGAATTAAGTAGTTTTTTGAATGGAGAATATCATCAGGGGCTACAGGCAGCATCCAAGTCATACTACGACAATTTGATTTCAACCTCTGATAACAAGTCGAAAACAACCTGGAATATTATTAATAACTTGCAAAAGAAATCTACAACAAGTAATAACGGAAAATGACAAATCTTTGAATGAGACAAAGTTAACATACATTTCACAAAACCACTGATAAACAACAGCTAATATGATTGGCAATTCATACATCAAAGTATCGACAATAATCTAAATAGTTTCTTCATGCACCCGATTACAGAAAATGATGTAATAAGTATAATTAATGGTCTAAAAAACTATAACTCTTGTGGTATTGACAATATATCTAACAAATTACTTAAACAATGTCAAAATGAATTATCCCATCCATTAACTTATCTTATAAACCTATCTACAGAAAAAGGCGTCTTTCCAACAAATTTAAAAATAGCAAGAGTAACACCTATCTTTAAAAAATGAGATAACAATGACCTTAACAACTATAGACCTATAAGTGTGTTAGCCAGCATATCCAAGTTTTATGAATTGAATATCAAATTTCAATTAACCAGTTTCTTCACGTCAAACAAGTTATTATCATCCTCGCAACACGGTTTTACAGCTAAAAAAAAGTACCGAAACAGCCTTATGTGAATTCCAAAACAAAATAATTCAGTCTCTTGATAATAAAAAACTTGTTATGGGTCTCTTCATAGACTTTTCATTAGCATTGGACTGTGTTAGTCATGAGATTCTATTATCAAAATTGTCAAGGTATGGACTGAGGGGAACGCCATAGTAGTAGAAGTAGTATATATTTGGTGCTAATACAAAGTTTACACAGGTCATAACAGATATTGCTTATCTATAAATACAAAATATAAAATATTCTTGCTAGAATCCTATGTATCTGACAGACAGCAAATTGTTAAAATAAACAACAATAACAGTAATCCCTTAGGCATTACGCAAGGTGTCCCTCAAGGATCAATATTAGGCCCCCTTCTATTCATAGTATTTGCCAATGACCTCATATCATACTTGAATGAACACAATAAAATTATTACAACATGTTATGCAGACGACACAAACATTTTGATCATAGAAGAAGATTTAGTATCATTAAAATTATTGACCTATGCTAAGGTGATAACATGGTCAGACAAAAACCATTTAATAATTAGTAAATCAAAGACTAATGCCCTGATGTTTTGCTCAAATAGTCGGGAATACCACCAGCTTTTGTTGTTTGAAAATACCAATAATGTCGTGTCTTCTTTTGAATGTATCAAAATGCTAGGCATTACCTTTGATTCAAAGCTCTCATGGATTTCTCATATTGATACTGTCTGCGGCAAACTTAGAAAAGGATGTTATGCACTCAAGTTTATGTCGAGTCATTGCAGTGAAAATATCCTTCTGTCTTTATACTTTGTCCACTTCCATTCTCATATGAGATACGGAATTTTAAACTGGGGAGCAAGTTCCTCTGTACAAAGGGTGTTCTTATTACAAAAATACGCAATCAGAATAATTGCAAAAGTGAGTAGAAGAGAGTCATGCAGAGAGATTTTCAAAAAATGTAATATTTTGACTGTTATGAGCACATACATCCTCGAAGCGTGTTGTTTCATTTTCAAAAATAAGGCCACTTATAATGCCATCAGAACACACCATGAACATGATACCAAAAAAAAAACCTTATTTTACCCCACCGGCATATCACCGTACGGTATCAAAAAAACTTTGAATATATTGGATGCAAATGCTATAATTCTCTGGCGGATCACATAAAAAATGCAGCTTCTTTAACAATTTTCAAAAATCTCCTGAAAAAACACTTACTCCGCAAAAACTGCTACACCATAGAAAAATTTTTTAATTAGGAAACTTTAATTTTAAATGGAATATGTGTGCATTTATGTATGTAAACATGTATGTGTATTTATATTTATATTTATGTGAATATCTATAAAAATTGTTTCAAATCTGTATTGTATTATGTTGTTATACTACTTTTTGACATTTTTCACAATTTTCCTGTATTTTTTCACAAGTTAATTGCTGGAAAGAAAATAAATAAATAAATCAGTCAGTACCTCGTATACTAATAGCTTACAACTTCTCATTCAATATCTGACAATCGTTTCAAAAGCTGTTTTCAGATGAAAGAGAACAGCAACAACATAATCACCATTTTCAATTGTTTTTTTTTTATTTGGATATTAGGAATACTTATTTTCCATAATATACATAATATTATAGTGAAATATTGATGAAACGTAACATGATAGATAATCGCAGCGACAGCCTCAATTTAAGGTTGGCTGAAACACACATTGACAAAAATATTGCATTTCAGATGATTGGAAGAGTGCTTGTTTTTGGTTGTAAAGTGAAAATAAAAATAAATCTTATTAGTGTTATATATCTGCAGATCATTTATATCACACTGTATACGATATAAGATATAAACTATAGGTATCATACTGTAAATATCGGAAATGTACTAGTTTGATTCTCTTTGGTTTTTATTACTGCAAAGAACACAAACGCACTTTCTATATCTTTATAAAAAGTTATGTGATGCCTTCTTTGTTTCGAGCTTCATGAAAATAAAGGATTGTTAATTGACGTTCTAAAGGAATCATTATTTTATTCACCTTCCAAATTATAAATTGATTCCAAGTTATTACAGTAAGTTTTCTCTGTGATTTGTTTTCTTCGTGTTTGTCATTCATTTTCAAGTGAGTGTTACATAAAGAATATAACAAATGCACAAATCAATGTACTCTTCCTCTGTATCAAGTATTGAAAAAATGCTAAACAGTAACTAACAAATGAAATTACCTCAGGACATGGTTCAATATAAATAGGTGGTCTTGAAAATTTGCTAATCTCAATAGAACTGCAATCAAATTAGATAACCAAGTCCTTGTTTCATTGATAAATTCCACTTCTCTAATGATTTTTCTTTGAAAAGCAAACAAAATTGAAATACATAACCTCAATTCCCCAAGGTAATGTTTCAAATGTAGGGGTTCACTTTCGGAGGTTAAGGCAACAGGTGAACCTTCGGTCAGTTGAGTTACACTCATACAATTCAATATTACACCTTGAAGATACAATTCGATCTGAAAATTAAAAATATTATCTTTCACTAACTCACATATCGAGTCATTATAAAATAACCAAGTACTTTAACATTTTGAATGTGTTTATAAGAATGTCAAGATTCTAGATTTTTTCTTCAATTCCAATAATAAAGATGAAGTGAAATAGTTTGATTAGTCTAATTTCTCAAAACAAATTGATCATTTCATTCAACACTATAGAACTGTTGAAAATTAACATTGTGTTTTGATTTTTATTACAGAGCTTACCACAAAAATTAACGTTAAAGAATTGGAACTGAGATGGACAGAAATGAATTTTTGATACATTTACCTGCAAATGTAATTCGTCTGCAGAAAACAAGTACAGACTGTGATTTTGGTAAGTCAAATTCTGGACATTCCCCAACAGTCTTACAATATTTTGAAAGACAGATCTGTGAAAGATACTCTTATTGTAAGTATGCGAAGCTGTTACGACCGTTCCATCTTGACATTCTCCTCGAGACGTTACAGAGGCTGTTTCTATAGTCCACAGTTCGTTTTGAAGTGACTTATACTCCTTTCGTATTTGATGCAATTCCAATGTGTTTCCAGTAATTTTGTCACGAACATGTAAATAATTTGAGAGCATTTCATACAAGGGATGTTGTTTCATGGCTGTTCCTGCAATTCAATTAATAGGAAAATTATAATAAAAAATAATACTCGACAGTAATTTTGTAAAGAAACGTTTTTTGGGTAATGTGATCTACAATATTAAAAGTATTCGTTCAGGTAGGGAGATGAAATAATATACTAATAATAATAATCAAGATTTTATCTTCAAAACTCCTCAGACTCTAACCAGACTATTCTGTCAAGATGGTTGTTTTGATTATTAGAGTCCTTGGTTTAATGGTTAAGTTCATATTGCTTCATTAGCAGAAACTTACTTAATACAGTATCAATCAAAGTTGCTGCTATACTTTGGCCTCATTCAGTCATGCCTTTCATATGATCTAGTTTTCTGGGGAAAAACCCATAACTTTGACCAACTATTTATCAGTCAAAACTTAACTGATAAAGCTTCATGTAGAGTCTAGATGTAGAGTCATGTAGATGAGTATAAAACAGTGTTTTATACTTGATAATGTGGTTAAACCCGAAACCAGTCGTATAAATAAAATTAACAAGTGGTAATTAGACAAAAGTGTTTTTATTCATTTCATTAAAGTGATCATTAATTACCACAAAATAAACAAGTCATCAATCTCACATATCAACTGTAAAAACTTTGTTGATTTAACTTTGGTTAATTTTAATATTTCATTTTGTAATCTTATGTTGTTAAAAAAATCAGTACCTACAATTTCTCAGGGAGAATGACAATCGACCTTTTGTGACTTTTGCCTTGTCCATTGATGACAATATTGCAATAAAAATGTTATCATTATAAATTTCAAGTATTTGAAAAGAAAAGATTGTGTATACTAAGAAACAAAAATTTTTACTTACCTTTTAGTTCTGCTTCTACAAATTGAGAATTAAATGCATCTATTGTTACTAATTCATTGTTATGATATAGAGCACTTAGCTGAGATTCGGTATAAGGTTTCATTACACTGCAAATATTCATCGTATTTTCTCTAGGTTTTTCTGGTTTATAAGCCGTTATAGGTTCTATTTCATCAACTATTTGTTTATTCATATTCATGAGTTTGTTGAAATCAGGTGAATTATCCTTATTTGAAACTTCTGAAAATCAAACATTGAAGAACATAAAAATTATGATTTTGTATGGAATTAAAAATATTACCAATGGAAACGATTTTTTCTTCATGATATGCACTTGTTTGTTCCACAAAGGAATTTCCGGGACATTCTGAAATTTTAAGAGAATTAGGAATTACCCAAACAGTTGACTACCTTGAATTGGATGTTAGTGCAATAAACAATGAAATGGCTGGAATAAAACTGTTACAATGTCCTCTTTATTTTTCAAAAATGTATTGAAGAGGGTAAATAGATGATCAAGGATAAGACAAAACTAATTTCATTCAAGGTTAATGAATGAATGAATCTTTATTGAATAGGAAACTTATCCTAATATACATACAATTGAAAAAATAATAAACAAAAAGAAGATGTTATCAACATGTATATAGGTTTGTGAACATTAATCAATGTATAATGATTATATTGGATCAAATATTTGTGATTAGATCTTATATGCATAACAAGACTAGTTTTAAATTAATTAATTGTTTTCACATCTTTTATGTGATTAGGTAGTTCATTTTTTTTTTTTATTTTTATGTTAATATAATTGAATGGTGTTATCTGGCATGAAATCCAAATACTTAATCATGTTTACAAATGTTAATTTTTCACCATTTATTGAAAGTATATATTGGTCCATATTAACATGTTTCATCTTATGCAGTGTAGATAATAGCATTGCTTTAGTTTTATTTATATTAAGTTCAAGTTTATTGTTATTTAGATAGAAATGAATTGTTGCCAGTGAGTTGTTCATTTTGTTGATAGCAGCGCTATCCAAATTACTACTTGAAATAAATAACATTGTATCATCAGCAAAGAGGTTACTAAAGGTTGTTGGTTTTAAATATGAGACAGTCAGTTTATCCCTCATTTAGAATTAACTTCTTCTCAAGAAAATATTCTTTGCGTTGTTTGATTATGTCACATCCATTCTTGATTATTTCTGATAAAGTGGCACCAGTTAGCAGAAGATTGGTGTTATCAACATAGTTGATGAGATGAGCGTAATTTTCTTTTCTTGTAGCCTCGCTGTATGTCATTGATAAAAATAATGAATAGAGCATAACCAAATCACAAATATGTGCATTTTGAAAAATCAAATTTTTTGATAACAATGATTTCAAATAATCAACTAATTAGGGCATTATCAAATCATAAATATATTATATCAAAAATCTATCCTAACAACTAACTAATTGGACGTTTGGTAAAAAATTAACGTATGTTAGCTTAACCAAATCACAAATATATTTTTTTCAAAGAGTGTCTTTGTAAATATCAGTACCAAAACATCCTGGGTCAAACAGGTGGGGAAAAACAACCTTAGGGCCAAATAACTAGCATTGAACCATGAGATCGAAATGGTAGCATCGAAATGTCTTACTCAGATATTTTCCAATGGCAATATTTAAAGCAAAACCTATACAAAGATAGACCTTTCACTGGTATTGAAGAGCTTGAAGAATCCACAATATTTTATTGCAGAAATATTCACAGAAAATATCAAAACACTTCGATTTTTTTCTTTATATTTGTAGTTACCTAGTTTGCCAAAGTTTTTTAGAGTTTACTTACTTAACATCTCTTGAATTCAAATGCTGTTAAATAATATTGCAAAATTATTGGAAAATTATAAAAAATTGAATAGTTGGCTATGACTTTGAATCTGTGTATAACATTCAATTGCGAACAACTTTTCTAAATAATATTTTGTTTCATTTATCTAAATAAAGGTACTTTATTCTTGAATGAATTTAATATTTTTTTGACCTGCTCTGTATGCTGTTTGACTATCTAAGTGCATCTAATATGATTATCGAACATATACTAACTTATTGTATTCAAATTCAGATTGTGCAATCAATAAAAAAAAATTCTTTGCAAATTTAATGGTGCACACTGTATAATATTCTCCAATAACTTCGGTGGGCATCAATAAACACTTTTCAGTTTGAATATGAAATGAACTGTTTCTAGGTTCTATTTTTTTATAACAAATCAATTTGTATTTTGGGTTTTCATAACAAAAGCTGAACAAGGTCAATCAAAAAAGGAAACCGTTACTTTATTAGCAACAAATCGAAACTGATTTACCTTCAAATTCTTTTACTTCAACATTCTTTTGACTTGCATGTGAAATCTCTGGATCAACAGTTATACATTCCACTTCTTTAATTTCATCTGGATTTGATGGTTCTGCAGTGAAACGTGTGAAAGAATTTTCATTCTCAATAACTGGAAGATTATGTGATACATCTATACATAATAATGATGTTCAGTTGTATTGAAAAAAAAAAAGTCAGTAGGCAACCTAATCAACTAAAAAAAAATTGGCTTTCAATTAGGATGGCTGGACTTGTTAGTCATTCCAGAAGACCAGAAAAGTATTGAGCATATGAATATCAAATGAATGTCAGACCAAAATTTTCCAAACCCGATTCCTGAAAAGAAATGGAAGTTAATGAAAATATCTTAGTAAAACTGGAACCTCTGGCATAAATCCCCAATAAATTCAAAACAACCACTTTTGCCAATCACAGCAACTGGAATACTCTTCTCAACACACGTTTCACCAACCAAGTTGACGTCTTCAGGAGATTGAGAATCTAACAGGGTATGCTTTCAGTTTCCGACACACATCAATGATTTTTTTTTCTGATTGATTCGGCCGATTATTCGGCCGTTGATGAAGATCCTAAGTAATTTCAAAAACTACACCTCACAATTTGGTCTCCACAAACTTGTGGAGATCAAATCGTGAGGTGTAGTTTTTGAAAACACATCAATGATTTCGGGGAGAAAGGCCAACAACAATGAGCTGTTTGGAATGGGACCTGTGTCACTATTCATAGTTCTCATGCCAAACTTTACTATTCTGTTGGAACAGAATTGATTCCATTAGTTATTGGACCCCACTGGATGTATAACCGGATAACCTCAATGGTTATTGGGTTTAGCCAGTTCAAATTTTATTCCTCTCAGTCGTATGGGGGTGTGAGGGAACTGATGGTCCATTGGGAGAATTGATTCTAGTTCAACAACACGGCAATGGGAAACCCACTGCCCCTTTTTATAGCTGACCTGTTCATGAGCAGATTTGAACTGGAGCAAAAAAGTATTTGCAATTTTTGACAAAAAGAAGTCAAAGGTAGAGGACATTGTTTCAACAGATCCTCGAATATTTACATATGAAATTGAAAACAATGAGTGATTTAACACTTTTGGCGATGTGATGTCTATGGGAAGAATATCTATACTTAGGTATATTACTGATGGCTCACACCATAGTCTACAACATTAAACAGTAGATATAAACTTTCTTGTCCATAAGCTTGTTACGTTCCCGTTGAGTAAAAATAGATACGGTATTGAGAAAAATGATATCAAGGACATAGCTGAAAGCAATGGATAATATTCTTCAAATATAGTAGATAAGTTAATTATGGAATTTAAATTTAGGTAAAATCTTCGTAATTCTTCAAAATGGCCGACAGTGTAAAAGTCGATAAAGAACTCGTCAATAAAAAGTCCACAAAAACGTTTGAATGCTGCAAAACTAAACCAGTGCAAGTCACAGTTTGTATCAAATGTGGCAAAACATATCACAGAAGTTGCGTTAATAGAAACAAAATTGAGTTCATTGATGAAGTCAGAATCGTCTGCTGTGCAGATGAAGTGAGTGGAGACGTAAAAGGATATATAGCAGTTCAAGAAAATCCAGTGAGTACTCAACAAATTTATGCAGATACGATGAAATGGTGGAAAGAAGAAAATGTCTTACTTAGGCAAATTATAAGGGAGAAAGACGAAAAATATTCAATTATCTTTCAAAATAAATTATTATTGGAAGAAAAAGTGAAGGTCACAATAAAAACCACAAAGATTAAGATGACGATCTGGAATTCCTCAAAAAACTGGCAACCACAAACAGATGGTAGTGAACTTGTTTACAAACAAAACTCTCATGAAATACAAAGTGAAGTGGAAGAACAGGACACTTAGGAAGATGAAAATGTTACTTTGGTAAAGTCAAGAAGACAAATGAAAAACAGAACATCACATGCCAAAGAAAACACAAACCGGTCTCTATCTCCGACACATAAACCTGTTCAAAGAAATCTTATAATGTTACCAAAAATTGATCAGGATCATAGTAAAACCATGGCAGACTTGAAAAGGGCCATCAATCCAGGTGAATTATCAGTTGGAATAAGGCAACTGCAAAACACTGCAAATGGGGAAATATTAATAAAGTGCAGCAATGATGTATCGGTTCAAAGAATCCTGCAGGAATCCACAGAAAAGCTTGGTGATGATTATGAAATAACAAAAACAAGGATGAAAAAAGGCAGACTGCTCTGAAAAAGAATTGCTACTAAGAAAACTCATTAATCAAAATCATAGATTTGAAAATAATGACTCAATAAATATTACAAATATGATAAAGAGGATGGAAAAGTCACAGTGATAGTTGAAACACAAGAGGAAACCTGTGAAAAACTGTGGAATAGGTATAAACTCAACATTGGATTCAACTCTTGCATAGTGTATGAAGTCAAGATGCTTCAGATGCTGTGGCTATGGCCATTCAGCCCAAGTTTGCAAAAATAAGTTGGCCTGTCCAATTTGTGCTAAGGAACATAAAAAAACGAATGTCAGGAACCAGAACAATACAACAGATGCATTAACTGTACAATGAAAAATGAAAAAAGGAACCTACATCTTAATATTGATCATAGTGCTTGAAGTCATAAATGTGAAGTCTACAAATATGAGGTCAATAAACGAAACGCAAGTAGAAATCTGCGGCAATAGCAACTACCGCAAAAAATAAGCATATAAACACTTCTGAAAACAACTGCTAACAAAATCGCAATGAAGATGAATACCCCACCATACTCCATCAAAATATACAGTGTTTGAGGAACAAAACTGATGAAGTTGAAATATTTCTAGACTCTCTATCATCGAAGCCAAAAATGTTATGCATAACAGAGGATTGGCTCTTAGAATCCGAAATAGAGAGTATACAAATTGAGGGATACGAATTGAAATCAGCTTTCTCCCGGAAAATGATGCAGCATGGAGGAGTCAGTATCTACACAACAAACGATATGGATGCGGAGAGTGTAGAGAGTGTTGTCAGAAAAAGTATTGAAGGTCATTTGGAATGTGGAAGTGTAGTAATTAGGAAAATGGAAATTGTTATTTATGAAATAAAATGGATCAAAAAAAGAATAGTCTCAAAAAATAAAATTATTCAGTTTAAACAGGATCTCGCTGGAATTAATTGAGAAAGTGTAACACAGAGTATAGATATAAATATAGCATACAGCTGTTTTTCAAATATTTTCAGTAGAATAACGAACCTGATTTTTGTGGAAAAAAAGTTTGATAACACTAAGCCCAATTCATGGATAACAAGGGGTATAAAAAAATCTTGCTCTAGAAAACGCTCATTATACAAAAAGAAGACACTAGGGCTGATAAGTACTCAGTATTTTAAAAAGTATTGTGCCGTTCTCTGTAAAGTTATTGCAGCTGCTAAAAAAATGTCCAGCACTGAATATATAATGAAAGCCGAAAATAAAACCAAAGCTACATGGCCATTAATCAAAAAAACAACAAAACCCAACTATCACAAAAACAATATCCTAGAAAGTTTTGCAAAAAAAATATTAAGATTCACAAACCATAGTAAATCAAATCAATAAGTATTTTAATGAAGCTTGCCCTGATCTAAATAAACCAGCCCTGATCTAAATAAACCAGATAGTCCAGATTATAAAAAATAAAAGAATGTGATGATGCTTTTTTCTTTGAATCTACTACTCCACTTGAAATAATAAAATGTATTAAACAACTAAAAAATAAAAAATCTGATGGTGAAGATCAGATTTCTTTGTGCCTATTGAAAGAAACAACAGAAATCATAGCCTATCCTTTGACTTATATTATAAATTTATGTTTCTCACATGCAGTATTCCCAGAAGTACTGAAAGTGGCATCTATTAGAGCTATATTTAAAAAAGGAAACAGAGTTGAAGAAAGTAACTACAGACCCATATCATTATTGCCAAATCGCAGTAAAATTTTTGAAAAGGTCATGAACAAACGTTTACCTAAGTTTTTAGATGATAATGTGTTGTTAGCAAAAAAACAAAATGGATTTTGTAAAGGTAAATCAACCACACAAGCAATATATCAAGCCATTGAAAAAATGTTACATCATTTGAACAAAGATGATTGTACTGTAACTGTGACTATTGACCTGTGAAAAGCATTTGACAGTGTCAGCCATGAAATTTTATGCAACAAACTTGATAAATATGGAATCTTTGGACTTAATCAAATCCTATTTGACAAACAGAACCCAACATTTGATTGAAAATGACATCTCAGCGATAATTAAATTGTGATTTAAAAAAAAGGTGTGCCACATGTGGATCCATCCTAGGCCCATTATTATATATACTGTACACAAATGAAATGCCAAATGTAGTTAATGAAGATATTGTATTATATGCTGATGATATATCAGTCATCGTGAAAGAAAAGAACTCTCAGTTGGTCATGACAAAGACAACAAATGTGCTAGATGTATTAAACAATTTCCTCACAGCAAATGACCTACTACTTAATATTGACAAAACTCAAATAATTCATTTCCCAAATAGATCCTTGCCAGAGTTGAATACCTTTGAATATAATAATCAAAATATAAACATATGCAATCAGGTGAAATTTTTGGGACTCTTGATAGTTAGGAGACTGGACAAATCACATAGGCTACTTATCAAAAAATATTGCAAACTATTGCTATGCATTGAGAATACTGTCTGAACATGTCCCAACCGAAGCTGCCCTCTCTGCATACCATGCTTATATTCAATCTAGGATAAAATATGGAATTATATTCTGGGGAAACTCTGTTGATATCTCTAGGATTCTCATACTACAAAAAATGTATTAGGTATATCTATAAGATGAACAAAAACGATAGCTGCAGAGAAGCTTTTATTAGAAGCAAAATTTTAACTTTGATAAATCTCTATATATATGAAGCAGTAATATTTGTAACAGAAAATAAATCACAACTTTTCATTAACTGTGAAAAGGATCACTTATACAACACCAGAACAAAGAATGATCTTTGAAATAAGAAATGCAACTACACATATATTCAGAGAAATGTCAAATATAGCGTTATAAACATTTACAATAAATTTCCACTCACTCTAAGAAATCTTCCAATTTCAACAATGAAATATTGTTTGAAAGAAAAATAAAAGTCCGGAATATAGAAAATAAGTTGAGGGCTGTGACAAAAATTATATCGGTCAGACTAAGCGAGACATTAAAACTCGTTTCAAAGGTCAGACAGAACTTATCCGTTTGCGGAGACCAGAAAAATCTATTACTGCTCAATATGCTTTGGAGAACGGCCATAGAATAAATAAGAACTGTACACATAACACTACTTTTTTTAATGCTTTCGAGAGTATGGAAATAACAAAGTGTGACATTAGAACTATGAACAGTGACAAAGGTTCCATTCCGAACAGCCCAATGTTTACCTTTTCATGAATCACTTTGGTGAAATTAGCGAGAATTTCCAGCAAATCACCAAATCATGGATGTGTGTCGGTAAGTGAAAGTGTACCCTGTTAGATATAAGTAAATACAGATCAGTTTTAGAGTAACAAATCAATTTACTTCATCTCCTGAAGACACCATTTTGGTTGGTGAAACACGTGTCGAGAAGTGTATTGCAGTTATGGTGATTGGGAAAAGTGCTTGTTTTGATTTTTGAAAATATTTCAGATTCAGACTGCATAAAAAAAATTGAAGCAAAGCTGTATAAATGCTAGTCCAGTTCAAATTCAACACCCAGGAATAGGATAGAATCCATCAGTATCGTTATATTTTTCATTTTGAGGTTTATAGTTATCAAATAAAAATATGTTTGAACAAAACTAAGTTTACTCTTCTGAAGGAAATGATTTAGTGTGTCACCTTCAAACGGAAGCAAATCTACACTGTCCATTGCACTTCCGAAGTCGTTGTAGTGGAGGACCAATATTGGCATCCTGTGACACTCCATGATTCATTCTAACAAGATATGAACGAACCAAAGACAAACTACATTTTTAGAAGTAGTGAAATTTAGGTAAAAAAAATTGGAAGGTCTGGTATGATTACTACAGAAGCTTTTTGTAGATGGAAACATATTAATATGTGGGTATTAGAACACTCTAGAACACATTTTATGATAAGTTGTTTATAATAAATCAAAATTGTTTTGTTCCAGAAACTGACCAGAGTACATTTCAATTTGATGATTAAGAATTACCAACCTATAATTCGGTGCATCATGCTCTATCTCTCGTTCAGAGGCATTTCTACAATGGGTATACAACTGGTGGAAAAATATTAACATATCAACGTTCAAAGAGAGAACTGTAAAATCTAAAAACTTCATGTACCTCTCCAGGGAAATAATTGAACAATTTCTGAATCCTATAATTGCAAATAGTCATTGGGGGATTCACACATTAATAGTACTATTAGTCCAATGTGAAGTGTAAATAAGCTTACATGCAATAAGTGGGTACATATAAGAAAAATCACATTACTTAAGGTCGGCATGCAGATTTTAAGGGAAATTTGAATTGAAAACAATATTTTATTAAAAGTTACAAAAATTCACTGGTCATTGGCCAAGTATTATTACTAGATGTATTATTTTAGTAGAAATCATCAATAGACGTCCGTATTGCTGCAATCTCGAAAATCTGTGACCTGTCTTTGTTCTGATGCCCTCTACCCTAGTGTTCATCCATGACATTACCAATGGAAAGTATTTTTTGTTTAGTAAAATATGACCGAATCTATTATTAAATTACCTTCGTTTGCGTCTTCTCCTTAACAATTTCCATGTTTACTGTTAGCCAGTTTCAAAATTTCTCACATTCAAAATATTTTTTTTTGTACTGTGCAGAAATAATAATATTTTCTTTTTTTATATTGCATCAAATTCTTCTTCTCTTTCTCCGTGGGTTTATTATTTCGGTTACTATTCCAGTACCGGCCTAAGAAACCGATGAAGAGTCCAAATCTGTTATTTTTTAGTTTCAAGAAGCTATTTTCTCCATATGGGAATACAAAACTCAAAGAAAACGAAGAGAATTCCATCTAATATTAGAAATCGTACGAAATATTACGTCTAATATACTAACAAAATTTCTCTCAAAATGCCTGTAGTGAAAATAAATGTAGTTGCAAATAATGTGCTATTTGAACGACAACACTTGACTGATAATAACGAAAGTAAATCAGTTTTGAATTCGTGATATTATGTAGGTAACGCATAACGAAAAGTTTTTGCTCACAAAATTCATACCTCTGGTTTATTGGAAGCAAGAAAGATTTCGCTCCGAATGATTGCCAAGGGAATCTATAAGAGAAGAAAAAACTGAATGAAATATTCAATTAATGGAAAATGAAAAATCATATCATCTGATAAAAAACCTTACAAAGGCATAGAAGAGCCACAAATGCTTTTAAAAAATGAATTAAAAAAATTGAGGTTAAATTTGATAGGTAGAATTGAAACCTCTGGAGTAAAATTAATCTTGAGAAAACACTTTTTTCACCCCAGAATGAAAACACTGAACTCAAAAGTTAACATAACCCCTAATTCAAAGTCTGAATTTGACACAATTCCGAGTTGATATCATATATACCTAACTTGAAGTCAAAATTCAATAAAAATTTCAAGATTGAAGTCGAATTTACCAGAGTGCTTCTTAAATTCCGACATTAAACTTGGAATTTTGGCAAATATTATCTTCGAATTCAGAATTTAATAAATTTTATTTTTAAGAAAATGTATGGCACTTCTATGCATTCATACAAACCAAAGTATAGAATTATATTCGTGACACTAACTGAGACAAATCACGGATTGAAGTGCCCTATCAAATGAAAATAAATAATTAGTGATTGGAAATGCTCAAGGTGAGTAGACATAATTTTACCATAAAAAGATGGGCTCAATATCAGGTGCTGGGAAAGCCAAACGACATAGAATGGCTATCAACACTTTTTTGTCATGGACTTCTCTCCGNAAATCGTGAGGTGTAGTTTTTGAAATTACTATGGATCTTCGTCAAGTAACGACTGAATCAATCAGAAAAAAAAGAGTATACCATAAACAGCGAGAGAAAGTTTAGCCACCTGCCAATGATTTTTTTGAAAATGTGAGCAAAAGCTTATCAGTGGGCCCAACTGTTTAAAAAAATGTCGTTAATACACACTAGTGAAATGAAAAAGTGTTACAGAATCGAAGGTGGAGGTCCACTGGAAGGCGAATCTTTTGAAGATATGTAGGAGACGTTTCAAAACTGCAATAAACCAACATTTTAGCGAGTGGGAAGTACAGTTACTATAGGACGAGTCTGACTGGCACATGCGTCCTGATTACCTTAGAAATTATGTTTACAAAAATTTAGTAGGGTTAGCAATTCGATTGAAATTTGTAGCAACTACTGAAGCAAGGAATGTACCAATTGGAGAAAAACGAAGAAGAGAAGTGCCTACTGAAGCGAATAAAGCCTTGATAGTGCTTGTTTCATTTATAATTTTTGTGCTGTGAATGTTTTGTTTGATTTTCTGTTAAAGAACTATATTGTTTTATTTTCAAGATTTCGTAAGACTCAAGTTTCATTCACAGTTTTATTTTGTTAATGTTGTGTTAAATTTTATGTTGAAAATGATATTGATTCATTTCCAAGAATTCTCATACTTACTTGTCCCCATTTATAAATAAGATCTTATGACTGAAATTTAAGCTAACAAGAATTAAAAAACTGGGTATGCCTTTGAAATTGAATGTGGTATAAAAATATAGTAAACATTGTGTATTTTTGCTAGACAAATAATATTTTTCAACTGATAAATAATATGAGACAAAGACAAAAATTAAATATTTGAGTATCACGTTAGAATCAAATGTGCAATAAAATTTGGTGAACATTTAGCATTTTTAGCGAAGAAAATTTATTTTTAGGAATAAAAATAATATAAGAGAACAGCATGATGTAAATATTTGGTTGTCGTTCGTAAATTATGTATATTCTAAATTTTGATGAGCATTTAGAATTGTTGGGAAACAAAAGAATATTTTTGAACAAAAAGATTGATTAAACGTGGTAAACTTTCAAATACCATCCTTTTTTATTTAGCCAATTTCGAATAACATTCATAAGTAGCGCTGACATTTGACACATTCAAAATTAAATTCATAGGTGCCGAGAACTGACAGCTTAGAGTTTCGTGATTTCTAAAATGGACAAGTTCAAAGTTATGCGGGAATAAATAATTTGAATTTCCTGCCAAAACGACCGCCATCTTGGATCAGAACATCTTTATTCATCTATAAAATAAACACCACAAAAAATCGTAAATACTGTCAAATTCCAACCTCGTGAGGAAACTGACACCTTCAAAATTGTGATGGTCCCATATGAGACCACTTATCGGTTAAATTCGGGTACCTATTGGCAACACATATAGAGCCAGTGACATTTATGAAAAATCGACATATCAACAGACAAACATTGTATGATCTTAAAAACAAACTTTCATTTCTTTTTAAGGGCTTCCGATATTGTTATTCTCGCAGGATTTTTATGGTCCGTGGCAGTGCCCTATTTTTTTTAAATTTTTATAGGTATTGGGAACCCCCTGTTTATCTCCTATATAGAAAGACTTGAATCTATACAAAGCAAATTCGTCACCTACATCAATAGAAAATTCTTTAATAATCTCAAGGATCCATTACAAATTAAAATACAACTCAATCTGATATCTTTGGTGGATAGACGCCAAATAGCTAATATTGTTCCTATATAAAATAATGAAATAATTGTTTGGACAGCAGTTCTATATTGAATCAACTTTTGATAAATGTACCTCTGTATAATACCAGACGATTATATTCATCCCAAACAAATAAAAGTAAAAAACTACTATTTGAATTATCTCCTAAATAGGTGTTGTAAATCCTACAACTCTATATCCAAATCAATAGAAATTGACATCTTTTCTAATTCCCTCGCAACCTTCACCACGTCTCTCAAACGTTCATACAATCACCATTTTCATATTTAACTATTGTAATTTGCACTGCACTGCACTGTTCATAACACGATATTGCATATTATTTATAACAATCGAATCACTTATTGTTATTTTCACCTCATCATTTGTGAATAGTCTTTTTGGGTTTGTCCCGTTTTGTATTCCACTGAAAATAAAATAAATAAATAGTACGAGGAAATATTTATCCAGAAAGATCCGATAAGTGTTTCGTTTATTCATTTTTTTTGTGCTTTTCCTCAATTTTTTTCTCAGTAGCAACAGCTTTATTTTTTGAATATATTATGTGTCCTATTCGTTACTTGGAATATTCATGTAAAAAGTGTATCAACAGGGGTGTAATACTATCAGAGATATAGAGCTGTAGGAAATCATCGCGATAGTCTTTTTACCCCGCTTCATATAAATGAAACTTATCTACCGAATCAGATCTGGTCCAAAAGGTTTACCGCAAGAAATTGTAAGATACAACCAGAAATGCATTTCATGCCTAGGTTGAGGGCACGTGCGGTAAACTGATATTTTTCCTAAAGCAGAATACTTGGTAGGGCCGGCCCTTCCCATTTGTAATAACAGCTCATGATCCTGACGTTGAAGAGTCGAATTAAATGAAAGGGGATATTTTCTTATAGACTTCGACAATGATTTGAAGAATATGAGAAAATACTAATTTTCGAGAAAGAAAGGTTTTGGCTTTCTACTTCTCCATCTTGATACAAAAAATGTGGAAATCTTTCAAAGAAAGGAAAGATGTAATCAATTTCAAAATATTTACTCTATACAAAGATGTGTAGATCATGCAAAGAAGTAACTTTCCGGCACAAACTGAAAAAAAAAATCCCCTCGAAACAGCTATTCTCATATAAACATTGAATTACACGAAAGAAAAATACTTTCGAAACAAATACTTTTATATGAACGCTGAATTATATGAAAAACACTTTTTTCCTTTTGTATTCCAAACATTCGTATAGAATAGAATCAGATATCATTCACAGGATTCCTACACAATATAGTTAATGACAGAAGTAAAAATTCACTTGCATGAAACACTGTCATCCTTACTGCTAGACATCCGATGTTTCGCCGTAAGACACTGGCCTTATCGGCTCTTCAGTAGCAAATATGGATAATATAAGAAAAAGCACTTAATATTACAGAAGGATCAAAGTTATAAAGTGCCCATTATCTTTCAAATTCTTGCGAGTACATTTAGGTATGGACTAGCATTTGTGCTGTTCAAAAATTCCTGAATATAACTGATTTGCATCTCAAACGACATTGACATATCCTAGGTTTCAAAATTACAGCATGAAAAACACATCTACAAATTAAATGTTGTTTAAACTTAATGATTGTACTACACACAATTCTCCTAATCTCATTTTTATAAGATTAGATAAATGTTTAGAAAATTAGTGGTAATAAATATAATATTACTGAAGTGAATAAAAAAATACTACAGTTATAATTGTTTTTCTTCTACTGAACATATTAGTCCTTGCAAGAGTAAAAACATATGTTTGCCTTTTTTAGAATTTGTGTTTGAAAAATTTGAGGCAAACCTCCAATTCTTATATAAACCAAACTGAATTGAAAAAACTATTTTTTATTCAATTATATGCGAAATAGTTTCAACAAAGAACAGTGACAAAATACTTCTAAGAAATAAGAATTTTGCTATTCATTCTTATACAAAGGTTCAGATAACTCATCCAATTTTTAAAATCATATATGTCAGCAAATAAATGTATGAACTATACCAGGTGAAACAGAAAAGAGGGCCACATTTATAACTTGTTTTGTTCATTGATAGTTCAAGGTGAAACTTGGAATAATATATATAATTTTTTTTATAATATATATATTTTTTTAACATAAAGAATCAAAAATGTCAACCTACCAGTTTCACCTGAACTATCCTCAGTTACATTTTTGAATGGAACACCCTTTTTATTTGTATTTTTTTTCCAGGTCATAACTGGTAAAGCTGGGCTATGTTTGAAAATATTATTTTTTTATTTTTAACATCAGAGGGGCGAACTGGATTCTTTGTTAGTGAATAATTTCTCGAAGTTTTATTCAAATTATAATCTTAATATTGTAGATACACAGAAATGTCAAAACAATATTAAAAACAGATATCAGAAAATTTTTCACTCAATGGTTTTTTTCAAGTCAACTCCAGTAGCAAGTCCTGATGAGATAAGTGGTAACACTGCACAGCCTTCAATCATAAAATTGTTATTTCCAATCAATTGGGCAGAGAAATAGTTCTTTATTGAACATGAAAAAAACTTGACCGCTGCAGAATACTATCTTTTCTTATGGTGAAATGAAACCTGTAACTCTAACTAACTCCTTTTCAGATTCTCAATTCCAAGTTTCAGTGATGAAAAAAAAGTTAAAACGAGGTTTGATTACTGAAACAAACATATTTATTTAAACAAATTGAAGGCACTGCTGTTTTTTCAACTTCTGAGCTTTTAGAAAAATATTTTGTATAAATTCAATGGTACCTGCTTGAGAAAAATGAATTACAGAAACCAAAGTACTAGGTATTGCAGACAATCACTTTCTCCTAAATTTTTCATCTTTTGGGAATAGAAAACTGTAACATGTACTCTAGGTGCATTCATGAATGCAATGACAGCAAGACACATTTGTTCATCAACCCAAAAAATGGGAATGAAAACAAAATGTTTCACCCGTTTTCTATTAAAACTCAAATATTAGATTGCATTATGTTTTTGAATATTTCTCAAACTGGTATATTAATTATAAATAAATGTGCAGGCAAAAATGTTCACTTCATTTTGCAATTATTCTTGACAGTATTGCCACTTTCCTCAAATCTGTAATTGGTTGTGGATTGGACAAAAAGATACATACGAAAATATGAGTGGTGCTCTTATCATGATTCCTGACAATATTTTATTCCATTATATTACATTCTACAATTACAATCTCTAAAGCCTAAAATGAAATCTCATATAGGGTCATGTAAAATGTGTAGTGCTTCTGACAATATATTTTTCTATGTATTCTCGATTGGGTTCAACTGAAAACTTCAGAGAATATTTCACATGCCATAAAGGTTTCAGGTAAAATAGTGATGAACCTTAAAAAAAAAGTAACAACTAATATGATTGATTTTCCAACAGATGAACAGAATGGAGATATTCAACTTCTCAGCAGTCTTGAAAAGATGAATGAAATTCTTAATTATTCCATTCTTGTTGACATATAAAGGTAAGCCAACATAAAATACAGGGCATAAAATTTAAAAGCACCAAAGAAGTAGAAAACCTTCAAAACACATTTGACTTTGAATTACTTGTACTTTGCTTTAGGTTTTTGTTGTTTAAATCACATACTAATTTTGTAAAAACGTTCAACCTGTTAAGTAAAAAATAGTCTGAACTTGCCATTTCCTGATGACAGCAATCTGATTGGTAAAATACAAAGTTTTCAATTCTACTTTTCAGGAAGTAATTTTAGTGGATGAGTGAATTAATACTGAAGTTAAAATTATAACTTCAAACACTTATAATTATAAGGGTTTTTTATACCAATATTATAAAGAGAAAAGATTTGATTTTATGTATGTTTTTAATGGATAAAAATGGAACTAGGTCTATTGGTCCACGAAAAATTTAAGAGAACAGATTCGTCTTTCGAGATTGTTCATTTCATTGTTCACAGCTTTAACTTGCTTTTCGTTAGGTTTACTAAACTCTGTCCATACAAGCAACAGAGTGCTCCAAAACATTATCCATTATCCAAAGCACTTCATTGTTTTCATTATCTAAATGAGACAATTGTTGATGACTGGAACTGTAGTGTTAAAAAGTATCAAAATCTGTATTTTTTTTCAGAAAATGTATACGATAAAATGCAGTGAGAATCAATGTTGTCCACAGGATGTAATAAATGATAGTAATCGGGGTACCTTCTAACACTCAAATATTCCAAATTCAAACCAGTCATCTGCCAATTATCACCATCACTACAACAATATCATCAGGTAATATTTTGATGTTTGATTCACCAGTTTTACGGAAACCGTATTCCATATCTACCCCATTTTTCATGATTACCACAATAAAGGTGTTTTTACTAACAGTTGATAGTTCAGTACAAATTATTGTCAGTTACGTTGTGTAATTTTGCAAGTTTCCGTGATGAAAACATTTATTCAAGACAAGAAAACATGCATATTTCGACTTGAAAAGCCTCATACTGTTAATATTGAAGAGACTTTATGGGCATTTCCTGTGAAGCTGTAAAAACCTTTTTTAACATACTTATAATCTATCAACCTAATAAAAATACTACATATTCAGTTAATAATATAAAATTTTGACAAACCAACATATTTATATGAAGTTACTGGTACGAATATGTACACAGATATACAGTTAAAGACAAAATCGGTTTAACAGGTGAAGGGAAAGTAACATAAAAATTACCAATACTATAATTCGGAATTCCATCTGATACCTCATTCACATTTGTTTAGGAAGAAGTAGGTGTGCTAGCTTTAGGTGCAGCTTCATGCTGCCTCCTCAAACGTTTACGAAGCTCTCCAGGAAATTTCTCGTAACACTTCTTGCAGACCGGTTTGAGGTCATATTCATAAAACTTAGTTTTCTGGTTCATTTTCTGATCACAGATTGAACAAGCAAAGTGGTGATAGCACCAGGCTTTGTTCAAGGCAGTGAAAACTGAAAATTGGATAGTTTTTCAGTGTTTAGAAAAAATTAAAATAAAATTATATACACACACACTGCGGATGTATATAGTCCCCCTCCCTCTTAATTTTTGAATGGAACAAGATATCAACGTCTGTCAAAATTTGTATGACAAGGAATCATTTTTAGTACTTTTTGTTAAACATCACTTGCCGCAGAGAGGGGCCCTATCAACTTTTCTTTCTAATAGAAAAGAGGTCTTGTGACCCTTCACACCAAAGGTATTTCAATTCTCTACACAACGACCTCTATACAATGTTCGCGAAAATGAATCGTATTAGGAATAAAACTGAAACAAAATATTTGACAAGGAAACGCATTTCTGTTTTTAATCTGATTTAGGATTCCACACCACGTTACTCTAGTCCCTAGTAACAGAGACTATTGTGTTAGCCTGATAGTTGTCACTGTTGATACACAGAATTCGCTTGATTTCATTTTGTTTTACCGAAATTTTCATGAGGCAGAAAGGGAGTTCGATGCAAGATTTCCTGATCTGCCGAAAATATCTCGGGGAATTGCTTGAAAAATTTGAAGATAGAAGTGTAGCTAGAGCTAGAGGAGCTGGAAGAAAATTTATCCCGGTCGTGAACGGAATATTCGTGAAAAGAATACATAAATTTCTTGACGGTTTTGACGTTATTCCGCGAAGGCAACACGGCTTCATGCCCGGACGCTCAACAAACATCCTGGAAGCTACAAATGTCTGGACCAAGGCTCTCGACGAGGGTAAGTCGATGGACGTGATTTACTTGGACTTTGCGAAACCTTTCAACAAGGTGCCACACAAAAGGCTGCTTCAAAAGTTCATCTGTCTCGGGATTCGAGACATACTGCTTGCTTGGATCTGCACCTACCTTACGGGCAGTGTTTTTCGCGTGAGGATCGGAGATTCTACATCAACTGCGAGGTCCGTGTACAGTGGATTCCCCTAGGGCTCAGTCTTGGGACCACTTTTGTTTCTCTTGTCTATACACGACATAGGTCATGGCCTCGTATCAGAATGAAACTGCTACGCAGATGATACAAAGCTGTTTGTCGACCCATCTGTAGCACACCATCAACTGCAAGTCGACATCACAATTGCCGCCTGGTCCAGCAGATGGATGACAGTGAAGATTTCATTGCCACATTACAGACAGGACAGGACATTACAGAAACGGCCAACGAAACTTCCCAGAGAACTACATGATTTTGAATAACAACAAAGGTTGAAAATCCTTGATCTTCCAACCCTGGAGCAGAGAAGATTGCGCAATGACCTGATCAAAATATACAAGATGATGAAAAACCTGTAGTTTACCAGGGATTTGTGAAATCCCATAGACTGAGGGGCCATTACAAGAAAATGAGGAAAGAATAGACACAAACGAATGTGTGGACTTATTTCCTCGCAAACAGAACAGTAAACATCTGAACGACCTCCCATCGGTCTGTGTGAAATTTGGCTCTATTGAACTGTTTAAAACCAGACTAGATTCATGCCTGATGTTCTGTGATATCGCTGTGATCATCGTCAGAAAAACTGTTATATTCGTAATACACTTTTTTATACCATTGTTACACTATTGCTAGCACTAAGTGAACATATCCCTGACAGAAGAATTCAGTTTTGTGGGTTAATTTCTGAACGTTTGATTGCAAATCGCAACTGTATAAAGACTATTTCTTTTAGTGACATTTTTTTCCTAAATGGAAGTGTCAACCGCCAAAATGTGCGATATTGGTCAGACAACCCACATATTTTTCAAGGTCACAATCAAACTCCTCAGAAAATAAATGCCTGGACAGAAATATTCAAAAATCATATTGTTGGTCCCAAATATCTAGTGAAAAATCAGACTGGTTATTTTTATTTGTAAATTCTTCAAAACCTCATTCACACAAGGATTCAAGAAATTGTAGACAACAATCAAGATGAATTTGTTTCAGGCCTGTAAGGGATTGGATGGATCAGACATACCAAGGCATATAGATTGGTAGGCAGAGTCCGTTCGAATGGAATGGTCATTCACCAAATTCGACTACTCTCGAATTTTTCCTTTGGGGCTATATCAAATCAAAAGTTTCTTACACAACCATCTTGCGCAAATAGAATGTTTTACTATCAGGAGGTTAAAGGAGAACATTTTGAACATTTGTTAAAATTATGGTTATATGTTTAAGATAAATAATAATGGAATTAAAATAAAATGCTATCGTTTTATGCATTCTAAATTGACGCGCATCTGTTGCACCATTTTTTTTACTAATTCATATTTCTTTTAAATGATCATGGGGTGGCGAACTTGAGAAATTCCTAGTCCTAAATTCAAACATCAATAATTCCACAACCGATTTACCAAAATAAAAAAAGTATTGGATATTGAATAGAGAATTGAAACACCTTTCATTCGAAATATCACAAGACACCCTTTTAACACAAGTTTTAACACCATCCCGGCGGCTTTTTCATCAAATTCTAAAATTTTTTTATTATAAAAATTTTGTACGACTTTAAAATCTTGCCACGTGCAAAAGTACAGTAGGGAGGGGATGAGGAATCATTGACTATATGTAAACACTCACCATCTCCAGCTATCACTTGATTACATACAAAGCAAAGATTTCCAAAAAGCTGATGGTAATGCGTTTCACAATATGCTAAACCTTTTTTCTCATAATGACGATGACCAAAGAAAGGCTTCTCACATTTTGCGCAGGCAAAATGCTGAAAATAAGGACATTACTATACTTGTTTTGTTTAGAAAGCAAAGAAGGATACCTCTACGTGCCAATGTTTACCCAAAGCAGTAACTACACGCTCTTCAATAGGTCTTCTGCAAGCTCCACAAATGGGTATGCCCATTTTATCATGACACCGAAGACAATAAAGTTCATTCATATCATTTTTGGCGAATCCTGACCGATTCCTGACCTCTCTAGCATTGCTATCAAGCTCCACCCCACACGCAGTGCAGTTGAAATGGTAGGCATGATAGACTTCTCCTCTGAATTTGAGTGGTTGGTCATCAATAATAGCACTGCAAATTAACAAGGAAAATTCAATTTTATTTCAAATAATATGTAATAAAGTTAATGTTAGATCAATATTTAGTATATGTTAGACATATCAGCATCATCACCTCAATACTTACTGACACTTATGGCAGATATACTTTCCCAACCCTCTGGCCTTAACCTTAGCATTGCATTCGTGGCACAGAGCTCTACCGCCATTCTTTATGAAACCTGTATCAGCGAGTTCCATAGAACACATCTCACATTTGAAGCAATGAGGGTGCCAGCTGGCATTCATTGCTTTGATAACCTGAAAGGAATATTCAGCACAACACAAAAAATATGTTCAATCTCACTCACCCTTCCGATAATAAATTCTCCACATTTGTTGCAGCAAGGAGCAAAAAGAACTTGGAAGTCATGTTCGCAATATTTGCGACCATCAAATTCATAAAAAACACCATCTCTGAATTCTCTGAAGCACTGAGCACATCTAAAAAAAAGAGAAATAAATGGATATAGTTTTTTAGAAATTTTAACGATTTTTGCTGGTGTAAAGACTTCACTTTCACATCCTCTAAATATAGCACAGAGGACAACAAAAGTATATACAGCAATTGTAGATCACAGTTTGTGAAAATTAAAGGATTTATCACTCACGAGATATCTGTTACCCTCAGGAGTACCTCAAGGGAGTCACTTGGGTAATTTCCTCTTCAATATCTTTGTAAATGATATCAAAGAAAAAATACTGATGTTTGCAGACGATCTAAAAATGCTAAAAGCAATAGATTCATTGCAGGATTGTGTGAAAATTCAAATGGACCTTAAATGTTTCTCTGATTGGTGTAAGATAAATTATATGGAAGTCAATGTGGCAAAATGACAAAGTATTTCCTTTTCAAAGTCATTAAACCTTTATATAGCTGGTTGTAGTATTCAGGGAAGAAGTTGGAACGTGTACAATCTATACAAGATCTGGATGTTATGATGGATGACAGGACTTTCATTTACAGTATGAACACCTATCTAACAAAGCGATGAAAATGTTAGGAATCATACTGAAGATCAACTGAAGATTTTACCAACATTTTTTCTTTTAAAATTACTTTGCATTGGTTAGATCAGTGATTGAGATTGAGGGAAGTCATTCCCTCTTTGAAATTAGATTGCTCAAACTCAGTACAAGACTGGCACATGCAGAACAAACCTGTAGTGAAATGAAGGGGTTATATTTTTAGGAGTGATTAATTTTTGGGAAAGAAAGTTTTTGGCTTTCTACTACTCCATCTTGATACAAAAAAAATGTGGGAATCTTCCAAAGAAAGAAATGAAGTAATCAATTTGAAAATAAGTAACTCCTAAAAATATAACCCCTTCATTTCAAATGAGATTCCTTTTGGCTGGGATTTAATCAAATAGGTGAATGAATGTCATTAAGATGTCATCGATGACATAAGTAGATCAAACTTATTCCGTGACATTAAAAATCGTAATTCATGAATGAATCGTGTGTATTTCCTATACTGTTATCCAATTTGGTACTGAAGAGCGCTAAGGCAAGTGTCTTACGGCGAAACATCAATGTCTACCACCAGTGAGGATGACAGTGTTCCATGTAAGAGCAATTTGTTACTATTCATTTAAAGTAGAACTGCTGTAAATGATATCTCATTTTATTCCAAAACGAATGTTTGGAATACAAACTGAGAATAGAAAAGTATCTTCTGAATAATTCAGTGTTCATATAAAAGTATTTGTTTCGAAAGAATTTTTTTCTTTCGTGTAATTCAATGTTTATATGAAAGTAGCTGTTTCAGGAGGGCTTTCTTCCAGTTTGTGTCTGAAAGTTGCTTCTTTGCATGAATAGAGTTACTTATTTTCAAATTGGTTACTTCCTTCCCTTCTTTGGAAGATTCCCACATTTTTTTGTATCAAGATGGAGTAGTAGAAAGTCAAAAACTATCTTTCCCAAACCTGTAGTATTCTACACTGCAATTTTGAACTTCGCCTCTTGGATGTTATATTCTATTTCACCCAATAAATATCATTATTATTATTACATAAATTGTTGAACAATGAAATTAATTGCACAACTCTTTTCTGTCAAGTCAATCTGCATGTTCCCCCGAGGAGGACACGTAACAACCAAACTTTCAGTCTCGACTTTCATATGTGTAATTATGGAAAACATTCTCCTTCGTCCAGAATTCTATCAAATGTCAATGAGAATAATATTGATTTTTTTCACATCTCTCAGAGCACTCTTAGATATACTCTACGTGGTATAGATTTATAAGACTATTTTTTATCACAATTCAATTTCAATTTTCTATATATAGGTTGATTTATTAGATATAGAGATACTAAAATAGTTAACTTTCTAAGGTTAATATATTTCATAAAAATTGGGGGTTACCCGTTGAATAAATAAATAAAATGATTTTTATTTGGGCCTTTTTCGAAATCAGATCCAGTATATACACCACTAACTTGTTTTGTTCCTTTTCATGTGACTAATTAAGGTGTGCATAGCCCAGTGATGAGAATGTGTCACCCAGCAAATGGATCAAGTTCAATAATTATCTGAAGAGGTTACTTGATGTTCAGGTTTCTCTCGTTTGTTTCATCTGTGGTCATATTTTTCTCTCCATTGTTATTTTTATTTCAACTCCGAGATCATTTTCGCAAATATTCTCTTTTTGTAAAGATTGAATTATTATTTTGTTTTACATCCCCAATAATTGCTTGATACAAAATAATATGTTATTTGATGATCATCAAATTACCTAAATACTCGGAAATATCACAAAAACTTTTAATTTCACAATATTATTTATTTTAACTGGGTATTTATGTAACTAATTTTAATAGGAATACACTGGTCTAAAATTGCTTATAGGGTGTTATAAAACTGATCCAAACATTAATTCACCCGAGGTGATAGGGCCAAAATCTTTCAGTTGAATAATACTGGAAAATTTTCCCAACACCAAACCGTTATTTCAACACCTCGACACGTGTTTCGATCAGCAAGTGATTTGAACATTGAAACATTGAGGGTGTCCCAAGTCAGATGACACCCTCTACTGAAAGTCTAAAATCACATTCTGATAGCACCATGAAAGTTGTAAAGGTAAATTGTTAATAGATTTTCAATATTTCTTCTGTAAAGGTGCAGCAAAAAAATATTGAAATTTTCGATTTTTTCCCATGTATCTCTGAAACCACAGAAATTATTCAATAGTACCCGAAAATAGACAACTTTGCCACGATTTAACCTAATCTCTACCTCTCACCCTTTACGAAATCTCCATCCACACAATTGAATCTGAATAGCTCTGTTTACGTACATGAAGTGGTGTTATCCATGGAGAAGAAACACCAATCAATCAATCAAACATTTATTGAATCAGTTTCCCTTCACAATCACATTAGACAAAAAAACATAACATCATAAAATATGCAATTGCATTCATTTTCAATGAAAAATAGGTTTTGTTACTTTTTACCAACATTTCAGTTTTATTAATTGATTTTTATAAACTTTGAGAAGTATTCTAATGTTCACCATCAACTATTTATTTATTGACAAACTTCATATACAACTAAGAGAATTCGATACCCGACAGCTACATTTGGGGTTTCAGTCCTTATAGAACTCTTAATGAAGAACAAGCTTTTCTCTGAAATCAATAATGAAAATGTTTTCCATAATATGCTTCCAACTTATTGAGACATACTGTACAATAATCGTTCCATAAAACACATTACTTCCATAAATTCACAATTTAACAACTCAAAAATAAACCAAAAAATAAACATTATCTATGTGTCACATTCACTTGTTCCTATCATGTTTTATCGTTTTCTTTATTTTTAACTTGTCCTATATTTCCAAAGTCATTGTTTAAAATCATTTAAAGGTTCTTAACATGTCAAGTGAAACTGAAGCTCCCATTTCCGCCGTATCATTTATAGTGCTGATTTTTCGCGCACTTTCTGTAATGGCGGGTTCGCGCGTACTTCCCGCGCGATTTGGTTGACTTGGCTTCGTTTTGACGATTTTCAATGATGTGGGCCAGATCTTTGGCAAGTACGTTCTCTCTTCTATTCTGCTGAAGTTCTCTTGGTGTTTGTGTATTTCTATAGCTTCTAAATACATTGTTGTTTAATAATGATTCGGTATTTTCGAACAGGATCTTGTCCTCCCCATCGGACAGTTCATGTTCAGCGACTGCAAACTTTTCGGTCTGTCCCAATCGGCAACTCCGCTTGTGCTCGACTAGGCGGGTACCAATGCTTCTTTTTGTCTGTTCGATATAGACTTTACCATAGTTACATGGAATCCTGTAAGCTCCCGCTGATCTGAGTGGATCTCTGCTGTCTTTTCCTGATCTCACATACTCCGATATTTTCTTCATTGCTTTGAAGACGGGGTTAACTTTCCCTTCTTTAGAATTTTCCCGATTCGGTTTGTGACACCTTCTATGTATGTTCTGTTCACTAGGGTGTTGATGACCGTTCGTTTTTATTTTGGATGATGGTTGGATCCATTATGTATGTATCAATCTGTGTGTGTTTTCTTCCTGTACACCTTATGGCCTATTTGAATAACTTCTTTGGGGATTTGTAGGTTTTCTTCTAATTCCATGGTGAACTTGATTTTCGGATTAAAGCTATTCAACTATTCCATGGCTCCAAACAACGAACGTGTCATCTACATACCTCAACCAGGGCTTCGGCCATTTTTCTGAGGTTTAAATAGCTCTTTCTTCAAACTTTTCCATGTACAAATTCGCCACTATTGGGCTAAGTGAACTGCCTCGGTGGTAATGCTTCTGCAGATCAGAAGCATTACCACAGAGGCTTTATAGATTACCGAAAATTCACAAAGTTTCTGAGTCCGATATCAAGTGCCACAGAATCACCAACCTACAACCTCGACAAACATTTGTCGGATATGCTGCAGAAACATGTTGGGAAGACTAAGACATACGTCCAAGACTCTATTGACTTCATCAAACATTTGAAAGGCATCACCTCGAAGCCAAATGACATTCTAGTTAGCTTAGATATTGTATCCTTACTCACAAATGAACCACTCGAGGATTCCCTAAGCTACATAGAGGAGATCTTTCCACAAGATATCAACTTATTTCGACATTCACTAACGACAACTTATTTCCAATGGAATAAAACCTTCTATGAACAAGTCCACTTAGCCCAGTAGGGGCGAATTTCTACATGGAAAAATTTGAAGAAAGAGCCATTCAAGCCTCAGAAAAACGACCGAAGCACTGGTCGAGGTATGTTGTTTAGAGCATGGAAAAAAGAACTTCAGACCTTTCTAAATCATCTGAATAGCTTTCATCCGAAAATCCAGTTCACCATGGAATCAGAAGAAAATCTCCAAATCCCATGCTTTGATGTTTTGATCATCAAGGAAGGTAATCAACTAGGCCATAAGGTGTACAGGAAGCAAACACACACAGATCGATACCTACATAATGGATCCAACCATCAGCCAAACAGAAACAAACCGCCATCAACACTCTAGTGAACAAAGCTTTGAGAATATGTGAAGAAAGGCTAGGACAGAAAAGACATAATCCGTGCTACGCGTCCAAGGGAGAAGAGAAGAAAGACCAGTGAAGATCAACCCCAAGGCACTGTCTATCTGCCATACATAGAAGGTGTCACCAACCGAATCGGAAAAATTCAAAAGAAGGAGAAAATTAACACCATCCTCAAACCAACGAAGAAAATATCGGAGTATCTGAGATCAGCAAAAGACAGCAGTGATCCACTTAAATCAGTGGGAGTTTACAGGAGTCCATGTAACTGCTGTTAAGTCTATATCGGCAAGACGAAAAGAAGCACTGATACCCGTCTAGTAGAGCACAAGTGGAGTTGCCGAATGGGACAAACCGAGAAGTCTGCAGTCGCTGAACATGCACTGTTTGACGGGAAACACAAGATCCTGTTCCATTATTCAACAAGAATGTATTTAGAAGCCATAGAAATACACAAACACCAAGAGAACTTCAACAGAAAGGAAGAGAGAACATATCTACAAAAAATTTGGCGCCAAAACGAAGAATAATATATCTGTTGTAATGTATATTATCCTGTATTGTTGTATGCTTTATTATTTTGGTAGTTCACTGTATACCATATAAAGATAGCTATTATTATCATTTATTTGTCGTAGAATCTCACAACAATTAATGATTTGCTAATGCAGCTGCCTTTTCTTGGAGAAAATATATATATTTGAACTTTCTACTCACACAAAACACTGCTGATGCCACAATTGCCCAGTAGAATTAACAATTTTTTCTTGAGGTTCAAAACTATCTCCACACTTGGAACATATCATATTATCATGAGACATGTTATTTAATCTGAAAAATAAAATGAAACAATTGAAACCATAATTTCAAGGAAATGAAAATAGTTTAATGCAATTTTACAAACAGATACCTTGATTTTGAAAATCTTGGTACTGATTTGGAAGTAATGGGTTTTGGGACTTCTAAAACAACATTATCATAACTGTCATAACGATGATAAGATGAATCAAGTGCTTCTCTAGAATTAGCTCTACGCTGAATTAATAAACTTTCAGATATATACCCAATGTGTGGTATGGTAGGAGATTTATCTTTCAAATTAGACATTCTGATGATACTTGTTTACCAAAATGGTACTTTAACACTAGCCGCTCTGAATGAACTGAATTCCCATTACATAATAACAACATTTGTAAACACTATTAAATTGAATGTTATATTGGTAACCTTCAAAGCAAAATTGCAAGTTTAGAGCATATCAGTTAAAGTAAATAGTTATTATCTCTTATCTTCAAAAATGATGTTATACCTATATTGAATGAGTGATTAATAGCTATCTAGTTAGTTTGATGTAGCAATTGCAGTGAATAGACCAGACATGTTCAAAATTTTTTATTAGTCAGTACGTATACTTACATTACCAAATTGAAATAGTGATATGTTGAACCTGACAGTACATAACAGGAAAAATTAACTCAGACTCATGTTTCTAGACAAATACAACAAAAGTCACAGATTTGAAAACAAAGATTTTCGTGTTGATATATCATGAATATCTTGACGTTATGTATATAAAAAAAAAGAGGTACTGATATTAAGACACACATGAAGATGACAGGGGAGAAATAAGCTTTCATTTATAGAAAAAAGTGATGGGAACATTTTCAACATGGTGATTGGAGGAAAATGTTTAGACGATACATAAATTACTGTCCAGTTAGTTCTTTTTCATTATTTATGGTATTTGACGTCTGTAAATTTTTTTTTTAAATGTGTTCTCTTTATGATGACAACTTGGTTGATAAAACATTGTCAACGAAAATGTTATATTTCGGTTGTATAAAGAAAATACTTTCATTAGATTTATTATATGTCAGCAGTAACGTTTCAACATGTTGATAAACTTTCAACAAAGAATTAATCCTATAACCTGAGAAAAACCATGTTGATTGCTAATAAAGTGCTGAATTCAATAAAATGTAATTTGATCACTTACTAAATTATTCATTAGTGTAAGGAAGAATGTCATATTATATAAACGGTGGTAGTTTTAAGGTTGTTCAATTCCTGAATCGAATATGACCCAAACATAACTATTTCATGTTTTCATACCTCGATAATGGAAAACATTACTTGTATTTAGTAAAAGTTCAAAGAACTGGTAAAGAAAGAATTTTGTTAAATATGTGTTAGAATATATGACTAATTTTTCATCAGAAATATATTTCATATAATACATTTATTCGACTCGGGAACATAGTTTAAAAGCTCCTCTAAGTCATTTACTCTAATTTCAACATAGTATGTAATTTATTATTGATAAGACATTAGTTATAATCGTGTGTCTAAGTGCCTATACAAATTAATGGCAGAGCAAAGCATTGTAGGAAAAAGATGAAAATTGTATTGAAATAGTAATGAGTGTTTGTTATTACAAAAAGGATTTGAAAATAAATTAAGAAAAGGCAAGCAATAATTTGAAAAATAAGATATTTTATGCTGACACCATAAATACGATTATTTGACTTCTTGCTTACCCGGGCATAGGAATCGGCGACATTTTATGGTCAGACCAAAAATCAAAATAAAATAAAGTAGAAAACTGAAAACAGATGAAAATTTGACAATATTTCAATTCAATAGTCAAAATAAGGATCTTTCGAAATGTTATTCAAAATTGTCAATATCACAGCCGTTCTTTTCTAATGTAACTCTTACCTAAATTTCAAAGGATTATATAAAGAATTATCTGAAAAATGGCAAATAGTTTATTAGAATTGCGAAATTACGACACACCCATTAATTTGTGGTCACAAACTTTAAATCTGTGCTTTAAATAACCTATACTTTTTTGTGCGTTCTTTTGCTGAATATTATATTTGATATCTTTGTTTGATCAACAAAGAGAGAGAGAAACAGCAATATATAAACTCCTATGGCCGATTATCTAACACCAATAACTATTCCACCAATCAAAACTGAAATGACCATTTATAGAATTTTCAAGCTATGGTAGGTTTCCAAGAAACGTTTCAACTTTAACTAATCTTTTAATGCGACCAGCGGTTTAATTTTATTGAGAATATCCATCAGCACATCCAGGTGGCGCGGCCTCCTTTAGAAACACGAATAAAAATAAATATTTCTGAAAAATAATATCATTCATTTGTAGACCGCAAGCCAACGCCAGATTTTTAGAGGGTCATATGATGGGTAACTATTGAAAATGTTTGATTTTTATAGTTGTGGAGTAAAGAATGAATGTCGGGCTGATGCCGTCCCTCGAAAGTGGTACACGTGAAAATCTTAGAAAAGTGAAAACAAACAAGTGGGGGTAATTTGTCAGAAATTCATGTATGACTTTTATAAATCTAGGTATTAATTACGACTGGGTTCTTCACTATTGACATTTCCAGCTCCATTCTCAACGTTGAGTAATGAAGTACCCTTTCTCCTGCTGTCAGTTTTTCATTATTTCCAATTGTAATTTCATTTCTTATAGAAAATATTTCTGAACTGTTTTGCATCAAATCAGGTCTCATTGTCATATGAGAAGTTGTTCCGGAGCCATGTTCCAACATCATCAACCGTTTTCGATTTTTTTCCGTGTTAGAATTTCAGACTTAACTTTCAACTTCGACATCTTGAATAAATTTCTTTTCAGTTGAGTCGCCTGTGATTGGGATACCAAAATTCTCTAAAGCCATCATCATCGGACGATACTCATCTGGTAGTCCAGCCACACGTCCAGCTAACAAAAGAATTCCGATCCATTCATCAACAACTTCAAAACCTATCCCATTTGATTTGTGATCAGTGAATATGATGATGTTGGCATATACTCTTCAATGGAATTAGAATTTTCCAAACTGTTAGTTATCAGCTTCCGTAACTGCTCGTCATCTTAATCTTGATTTCATCTAGGCTGGAACTTCACTCCCTTACCCTTCAAACTGGCTTTTGTCAAAAAGACAAATGGGTCATAACTGATTAGTGATGGCGGCATGAATGTCCTCAGACATCAGTACCGCCCTTCGCGGTGTACCCCTACCTGGCTGGGGTGAGGTGGATGAAAATATTATTCATCTATTAAAGGAGGACATAAGGGTCTCATTCGACAGAGTGAGTGATTATCGTGAGTTTCCGCACAATCTAAAACTCGCCGATTTCTCGACTGGACTGCTGAATTGAAGGCAGCTGTAAATCTCTGCGGATGGCTTCATTCCGCACGAACCACGGAGCATTCACAATTATCCGTAGTATGTTATTTTGTAAAGTCTCCAAGATGGAGATGTTGGACGGAGCCGGTTGTCCCCAGACGCCTGAAGCATACATGATGACAGGCTTGAACGTCGTGCTGTAGATCGTAACTTTGTTTTTAAGGCTTAACTTTCCGTAACTGACCTACTCTACGAGAGAGACCGGTATTTTCAAATACTTGGAGTAATTTATACCGAGCTTCTTTGGCTGTCTTTGTATCTTGAACGTGTAGAATCAACTAATAGGATGATTTTGGCCACTGCTTTGACCATCTTCTTCCTATTTATTTCTAAATCTGTTCCTTTTATACACTCCCAACTTTGCATAGCAACAGAGTTGAACTTGACGTTTTTCATTTACAACTACAGAAATTATCAACATGGCAATAAAAACAAAACTAAACATAAGTATAGAATGGGACACTAAGTTTTCAAATTTAACAACCCGCAATGAAACCACTTCTATTGTAAGTGGACACCAGAATAATAAAGAAGTCTGTTCATTTCAATGTCCAGATTACTCTTGGAAGAGACAACAATATCAACACAATTGCTTGTCAGTGTACTTCAGCACACAAAACTAAAGAAAAACTGGGAAGTGTTTCATAATCTGGAAAATATGGTTAGTGAAAACGAGACTGATTGTTCCGAAAAAGATTAGGAAAAATGAATCCTCCCTGCAAAGTTACAGAAATTCCGATCCAGATGCTTTTGTTGGCGAATTATTCGCTGTTGTTGGAAATGTCTGGTCATTGATTCCTAATTTCTTGTACCTACTAGCGACCATGTCAAGTCGGTGCCAGTGGTTTACAGAATGAAAGCCTTTCAAAGAGTATCAACATGTGAGAATAGGAAACTGTTATTGAATTCAATGTTTTGCTCGTATTTAACATCGAAAATATTCTCTTTTCATTAGGAGCAACGATGGATAAACGTTTCATGATGTCTCCTGACCAAACAACTGCAGTTGAAGTTCGTCATTCCAAAGTGTACTGCATGTTGTTCAAAGTTGAGGTACCTGTAGAAAAACTTTACCCTGGAGCTAATATTGCAGTAAAAGAGACCTCGAGCGTCTGGTATGAAATGTTGGTATACCAAAATATAAGACATGTGAAACATTTCCTCATAGATAGAAATATAAACCATGTCAATACTGATAAATTTCTTTTGTGCCATTTCCTTCGAGTACTGATCCATACCGATCTATGAGGTTCAATGCAGAATCAATCCATTGGTACATTTCACTATATTTTATTATTTTATTGTTAATACATTTCCAAATGTATTTTATCGAAAGTAGTACAACAATATTTCATAATTTTATCGATGCATTTCCATTTTTCAATTATTTTTTAACAACACTTTGTTTCGGTTTCTACTACATTTTAATTTACTTAATATACACTACTTTTGAAATTTTTACAATGATCAAAGCAGAAAAATCATGAAATACAGAAATTGGGGACACGTGAGAATCGTTGTATTCATGGTACGTGCCACTTATAAGGGTGTGTGCAATGTGCTGTGTAATGCCTTGCTGCCTATCAGTTTTTCCGTTGAAGAGAATTTTTTCTAATGAATTACGGGAAAACTTATGGGTTGATAGGGACTTTGTGCATTTTCTTTTTTCCTGGCACCTCGAACACGTTGGTTTTTCATCTCCATCCAGAGTTTCCTCTCTTTGAAGGAATCCAAGCATTGTGACAAACTCAATTGGCCAGTTCTTTGTGGTATGGAGAGAGACAAATTCCAGAAAGGATCGAAGATTACTGATGAGTGTTTACAGTGTGTGCACTTAATAGTGGATTTTAATTGACCAACGAAATTGTCTATACAATCTTAGAGTTGTTCATGTTCAAATATCTCAGCCAGGATTCTTGCGCTTTTCCGCCGTCGCTCAATTTTTCGTCAATCTCCGTTAAGATCGGTTTAGGTTTCTCAGTAATTCCATTGAGGTCCTCATGTAAACCTTCTAAAAGATATCGAAGGAATTCCTGGGTGTCTTGATGGGCAGATCCCATGAATCCAGGGGCAAATCTTTGAATCTGACTTTTAAAGTAGGCAGTGTTTATTACTCTATCAGATGAATCTTCTGACTACAATTCCTTGATAACTTTTGCGAACGGTTTGATAAAAGCACCTTTCATACTAGAAATTCTATTATTAATATCTTCCATGTATGTATCCTTTTTTAAATATTCCAGCAACCATCTCGTGTTGCTGACGATTCATCCTGATTTTATCCAGGTTTGGAGACCAGCTCCCCTACCCTTTTGGCTGATTATTGGCCATGAGAGGGACCAATGGGTACACAACTGATAGATGACGGCATGAAGTCCTTAGACATCAGTGCCGCCCTTCACGGGATACCCCTACCTGGCTACCATCTCGTGTTTGATAAACATTGGATTATACTGTTCATGTAACAGGTGTTTCCAATATTTTTCAACCCATTAAACCCAAGAGTTCTGACTGAAGAAGGTATCACTGATTTGATGTTGTAACAGTTGATAAACTACGTTCGCCACTGCTGTCTTCTTCTGAGCAATCACGGATTTGATGATTCACCCCCTCATTGGATAAGGAATTCGAAGCTAAACTGCCTAAAACTGAATTGGATATGGCAGACGTTTAAAAATATGGACATTTAGGTCGAGTGATATTAGTAAGGATCGTTTCCTGAAATATTTTCAGATAGGTGCATCAATATAAGAACAAAATATCAATTATCAAAATAAATCAATCTTATTACCTGAATAACGAGAAATTTCAACAAAGACATTTGTTCGAGAGTAAAATTGTTGAAGACACAATGATCGAATATATGAACAGAGTACCTAAATGACTAAGCACGTATTTTTTAATGATAGAATTTGATTGTTGAAATCTGTAGTGCCTTGAAATGAGACCGTATAGACGTCGCATATTATTTTCGATTTCATTGAAAATCAATATAACGTTTCCATTCGAAATAAAAATGTCTCATTATGAGAATAAGTTTCGATTAGGATCTTGAAATATCTGGATAACATATATAAATTATCGTTATATATTCAAGGTGGAGTTTTAATTGAAGGATTGTTGCATTACCATGAGGGTATATGTGAATCAGTGAAGTACGGCAATTCGTTTTTCATTTGGGTCTCTTATCCTTGTCATTTGTATTGAGTTTTATTTCATTGATATATTCATTTGAGATATTTCAGTAGAGTCAGGGTCAGTAATAATCATGATATCAAAATCTGCTTGTGAGTTTCTGTAGAAGCATTTATGTAAAGTTTCAATATTTACTCACAATCATATTTGAATATTTGATTCCATTGGTCCAAATTCATTGAAAAATGCCAGTGACTAAAATTGTGAGAATGATGCATAATTAGGCCCTGAGAGCCCTGTAAGAATCAAGAATAATGATACCTAGATGGTAACTTTATGGCTGTCAGTTTTACCGCTGTTGATAAGGAGCCTATAATCAATAGTAATAGCTAGTACCATAAGAACCTCAAAATACTATCGATACATTTCCATTTTTCAACAAAAACTTCGCTATTTATCTGATATGTGTCAACAATAGTCGACCTTCTTGATGCAGCTATATACTTCACCAATACGTCGCGTATTTTTTCGATTTCATTAAAATTCAGAATCGAGTGTCGTTCCCACTGGAGCGATACGATAAGCGATACAACATGAGAATTCTTTTATCGCCCGATACAACTTTTATCCTCGCAACACTCCAGTGCACACTCGAGCGATACGATAGCTTATAGGATAAGTAACGGAGCAGTTGTTTTCATCAGTCGTCACAAGCTCCTCAGAGGAGGACGTTGTTTTTGCTAACCGGTACTTGCAAAAGAGGAAACGGGAATCTAGAAAATACTGGGTACACCCATATATTGTTTAATATTAAACACAGTTTGATAGTGGTTTTCCGTGAGCTCTCTCAACATGAAAAGAAATTTAGAGTTATAGAGGATTGCACGTCTTCTTGCTGACCCGACATGAATGTGAAAAAAATATTGTTTTCAATCATTTCCTCACGTCTGGAAATTTGTAAACAGTTTAGAGTGTTTAGACAATTATTTTACGTTTCAAAAAAGTCAGCTGGCCTTACCGTGGTGAATTATACGTCAGCTGGTCACACAAACATGTAAAAAAAATCTCTTCAGTGATTTCCTCTCAGCTAAAAAGTTGTCAGATAATAGTTAATATGCTAGTTTGATTGAATAAAAACGTCAGCTGTCTATATGTTGGTGGAAAGGTCATCAGCTGATGGCGTGAAAGGTGCGGCGCGGGAGCCAAGCGTGAGTGCTAATTGTCTAATTGAATACGTCAGATGACGGGTTTTCCTCCTTCATATTGCCTGCTGATTTTTTTTTATTATTAATGATATCGTGTATTATATTGTACGTAATAATTTATATACATACGGTAATGTTGAAGGAGAGGCCGCTTTTCCGATGTTACTGCTGATTCAGGTTTTCTATATTTCGGTGGCAACGCTGTAAAGCGACAATAACAGTCGGTGTGGTACATTTGGAAGTTATTAGCAGCGTGACCATATGTGGCAGATTCCTGCCATTTTGGCAGGATTTGCCTCTTATTTTACCTTCTGGCATGATCAGTAGACGTTTCATAAAACCTGGCATTTTTTGGCAGTATTGAGTTATTGAAAATAAATTTCATTATGACAAATCAAAATACCAAAAATGGCAACCCTGGATACTTCATGAGCATGTGGAATGTGGGAAGTCCCCATGTTTCTTGCGTTATGTTTATCTTTGTATCGCATTCAATTAACTACTACGGATATTTTGCTCACAGTAGCAAAAAACTAAGGGGATTATCAGAATTTCAAGAGTTTTTTAACTCAGAAAAACATAAAATATTACAACACTAGGACATTCGTTGGTTATCATTACACTCGTGTGTGAATAGGATTCTTAAGCAATGGGATGTGCTAAAAATGTATTTTCCAAGTCAATATTTGCTTGACAAAAACATTTCCTCGCAATTTTTATATAAAACATTTAATGACAATGTTTTAAAACTATATTTCTATGCACTAGATCATCTTCTGCCACTTGTTAACAAACTGAATATGTTATTCCAAGCAGATTATGCAACTGTACACATTGTTTATAAGGATGTTTCTGAAATGTTCATGTCGCTATTAAGTTGCTACATGAAAAAAAGTTACATTAAAAACACAGATCCACTTCTTGTAGATCCTAGATCTGTTGTAAATTTTTTGTCACTCGGAGATAGGTATGTACTTAGGTGTTAAAGTTAGCATGGAAATTACTCGCCTAGCAAGAGAAAGTACCCTTAAAAGTACAATACAAACGTTTCTCGAACGTATGCAATCCTTTTTGGTAGAACTTTCAAGTCAATTTAAAACACGCTTGCCATTAAATACACTCTTTAAAAATTTACAGTTCTTGTCTCCACAACACGTGAATATTGCAAATTTNTGAACTTTCAAGTCAATTAAAAACACGCTTGCCATTAAATACACTCTTTAAAAATTTACAGTTCTTGTCTCCACAACACGTTGTGTATAAAGACTTGAATTCAATAGCAAATATTAAAAATGAATTTCCTAATATTGTTGTTGAAAAACAAATTCAGCAAATTGATGCCGAGTACCGACAATTAAAGACTGATGAAGAAGTTAGTGATTTATTATATAGAATCTGGTGGTAGTAGTAATTCGAATTCTGTATTGAGTATTGATAATTTTTGGGGTGCTATCGGCAAAATGAGAAATTCTAATGGTCACTTTAAATATGTAAATATTGCAAATTTCGCAAAGGCACTGCTATGTTTACCAATGTCCAACGCTGCCTGTGAAAGAATATTTTCTCAAGTTAATTTAATAAAGACAAAAACACGAAACAGATTTATAAACAAACATGTAGCGTCTATCTTGCATGTNAGGTCATGATTTACAACACTGCCCCCTTCCCTGAGCTTGTTCGCCCTTATGTTTCCAAAAGGAAACATCACGACCCATGTAAGGACACAGTCTCTCTATGTGAACCACTTTAAGCTTGCTTCTGGGTGATAATTGGATTCTGTACACCAGATCGTTTATCTTTTTGGTTACCAAGTAAGGTCCTCGCCAAAGTTGCCCTCCTTGAATCTCGCTGGTAGCGACTTTTTGTCAAATCTTATCTTCATCCTCTCACTGGAAAGCTGTAATTTAGATCTGTCAAATTTGCGTCTCTCCTTTAGGTCATTCGCATACTCTTGAGAATCCTCGGATGGACTACCACACAATACATCTATGGGAAGCTTCAGTTCTCGCCAGTTAACAACATGAATGGTGTGTGACCTATCGCATCATGTTGAGAGCTCCTGCGTATGCCAACAGAATAATAGGAACCAATTCATATCAGTCTCTCTTTGGTTTTCGGAGGCAAACATCGAGATTATGCCTCTTGTCCATTCCATCGAATTGTGGGTGAAGAGCAGTTGTTCTTGTCATCTTTATTCGCAACAAAGTCATTCTTTTTTTCCATAAATCCGATTCGAAGTTGCGGCCTTGATCCGAGTGTAGTTCCTGGGGTACCCCGCGTCTGAAATTGCGTTCTACAACACGGCTTCTGCCAGCGTTTTAGCCTCTTGGTTGGGTAAGGCTACTACTCCAGACCATTTGAAGAAATAGTTCATCACAACCATTCTTGTTACCGAACGTGGTCATAAGGAGTGGTCCCAGAATGTCAACTGCGATTCCCCAGAAATGGATCCCACTGAGGTACTGCTTCAACTTTCCTCTTTGCCTTGTCTTCGGACCCTTTCTCGAAGAGCACAGGTCACAGCGCCTACACTACTCTTTCACGTCTCGACGGCAATTGACCCAATCGTACCTCTCACGCACTCTCGCTAGAGTTCTACTTACTCCAAAATGCCCTCCGGTGCGACCATCGTGGAGCTGTTCGAGTATATTCGGGATACACGTCTCTGAAAGGATTATCTGTAACTTGTGGGTTTTTTTCATCCGGGCTTTCCCATTTCTGAGTGAGTAGGCCATCTCGAACGCAGATGGAGTCCCATTGGAGCCAGTAACCCTTTTCCTGCTGACCGTACTTGAAGATCTCCTGCCATTCCGGCCTCACTATTTTGTCAATCCATCCCCGTACAGTTTTCAAGATCATATCGTCCTTCTGCGCTAAAATAATCTCTTGCCTCGTCATGAAGATAGTGTCCCCTTCAGAGGTTAATCACCGTATCACACCATGGTCAGGTGATACCCCAGATTTTCTATGCGTATCCTTTACATAAGAAACTCTTACATGTTGCTACCTTTCGGATCAGAGGGAACTCGAAGCGGCGGGAGGTAGGGGAGCTTATCTCCCTATCAGAGGTGTCCATAAAGGAGTCTCTGTCCGCTACCTTATCATGTCTGACAAAATTGTCAGACATGATACCCAAGTCGCCAGGTCCAGCAATTTCCGCTTGAATAATTTTCTCGGAATTGAGAGAGATTCTGAAATCTTCCAGTATAACCACCTTGGCGCTGTCATAAGGCTGAGAGGGCACGTCGAGCAAAATTTCCTCATTTCCGACTTTCAACAGTTTATTCCTTATGTTCACCACGAATCCATAGAAGGGCATGATATCTAGTCTCAAAATAAACTCGTCGACGATGTTGGCCACTACTACTTTAGTTTCTATTTCGCAGTTTCCAAGCTTCAGTCTCACTTTAGCTTCTCCATAGACTATCAATATGTCTCCAATGGCTGTTACCAGAACAGATACTACTGATAATTTCTTCAAACTGCTTCTGTTGGAAATATCGGATCTCATTACTGAGAGCCAAGAAATTTTGTATGCAACAAAATTGCACACCTAATTTTTTCTCCAGTATTTTCGAAACCAAGAACATGTCGGAATTTTCATTATTGTTTTCTGGAATATGAAACATCTCGGAGGAATTTTTCATTCAGTCATTTAAACTCAAAATTTCAGTTTTGGCGCTATCGGTAAACTTGAAAAGTGAATTTTATCGTTCCCGTGAGATCGGGGGCTCTGAGCACGGGTTCAGTGTGCTCTTATGGTAAAAACGAAAATGCGAATGGGCATTACTATGTTGAAAAGTATATATTTATATTTTTGGCAGGATCATATCCAATAATTTTGAACTCTTGATATTAATGTTAAAAATACAAGAAAATTTTTAAATATTTTGCCTTGCCACATTATAGTATACCATGCATCAGTAAGATAAACGTTAACAAGGGAAGTACTCATGATAGTTATCCTTTGAAAACACATCCTTTGAATCGATTATCATTCTAGTGCAAATACAATGATAGGTGTATTCTGGTTCGCATTCAAACGATTCTAGGATGATTCAAAATAGTTACTCAGGGTATCATATAACTTTTCAAGTCTCAACTGTGAAATTACATTTTTACAAATCGAACATCATTCAAATAGCGAACCCTAATACAACCCTAATACCGTGTTTATTTTAAAAGAGAAATCAGTTGCAGTGGTGAAGTTGCTAGTAAATTTATTCAACCACATCTAATTACACAAAAAAATATACGAACAATAAATAAAAATTCCTATTCTAATATACAAAGAATACAGAATATGTCAAATAATCAAATCAGATCCTTATCAGTTGTTGAAGCAAATTAGAAGGTAAAACTCCTTCTATCTTCTCATACAAATAATAAATTGGCATGGACATCCATCCCATAATCGCCTTGGCAAAAACCCCCATCAAATCTGGATACTGATGTGTTAGAAGTGCTAAAAGTGCTGTAAATGAACACAGACCTGCTGTAAATATTATGAAAAAGGGTAACTCTTTTTTAGGGTAAACTGAAACCTCATGAAAAGCTGGCAGTAATTCCCTATCTGCACACTCAGTGCATGAAGGATAAGGATAAAAGAGATGACCCCTCTCTAGAGGATAGGGAAGCATTCTGAATGTGCCTTCCCAAGTGCAATGAAGCAGATTGAGGGCACCTTCTACAGCTTTCCAGTGAGACAAATGAAAAAAGGCATAAGCCAGAGCTTCTGAATCCCCTCGTTTCAACACATGCTCAGGTGGCATTATCAGCTGTTTCATTTCTAGCAAATACTTTGGAACATGGGGGTTGAACTCCACTGCTCTATGTATTGCTTCAACTGCGGCCATTTCAGCAGGGCTCAACCCCCTTTTACTGGCTATATCAGGGGAGAATTTATCAGCTACAACTCTAGCCTTTAATAGAGCTGCAGTATAGCATATTGTAGCTGATTTAGGTAAAGATATGTCATCATACTTTGCCAAAACAGCTTGAACATCCGCATATGCTTGCATTTCTAATAAGGCTTCAATTAAGTTCTCATGAATATTCAGTACGTTCATGATTGGTGGAACTTCCTTTGTCAGATCACGGAACATTTTGACAGCTTCTTTGAGTTTGCCTAATTTTCTGGCACACATAGCTAGGCGTCTCTTGATGTAAATAAGAACATTGGTATCTCTTCTGTGTTGAGCTTCCATTATACTACCTTGGTGCTGTAAGAAATAAAAAAGGTTAACACTTCATAGAATTGTACAATTATTATAATTAAACGACCCATAACATAAACCTCAACATTTATATATTAGGATTATCATTATTTTAGGCATTGAATGACTGTCATTATTATCAACTGTTTTTTGAATTCAAAAGGCATTCTAAATTGAAGAGGTCCATAATTTGACAATTATGAATGAATGAAAAGATATATTCTATTTTTATAAAACTTAGCATGAGTGAATCATCATCAATAATATTCAAATTCCTTTCCAATTTTTTTCAAGAAGTTCATTACTGACAATATCAAATGTCATCAATCTGAAAAATACTGTCTAGTTCATCTCTAAAGATGCCAACTTGGTTGGTGAAATGGACATGCATTTCCCCATGTATTCTTGAATTATTTCCATTGGGTAATTTGTAAAAACGAATTTTCTGACTTCAGTAATTGTCACTATTTTCTTTAACATTCACTTTTTGAATTTATCAATCAATAAATGTTCATTTTGACTTTCATGACCAGGATGTATTTACATTATATTCTACAGGTTAATAAAATATTATTCAACCCTAAAGCAAAAGGATATTATTCATTCCGTTGAGGGAAATATGATTATGCTACATCCAGAAGATGAGGCTAATAATCATAGTATCTGACAAGGCTTACATAAAAAATTAGCTGTAACTGGCCAATATCATAAAGGAAGACATTTGGAAAATTTGCATTTCATGATAAATCCTATTTGAAGGATTTATTCATTGATTCAGTTGAAAAATCCTGTCATCTCTATCAGGAATTTCACAATGACTTTCAAGACTTGCACATCCCAAATAACCTTGGGTAACAAAATTTCAAATATTTTTTCCGTTTTACTTGATATTCATTAATTGTTTCTATTTTAAGGGTGAAGCAATATTTTTCAAGAGCAGCAATCAATAAGAACGAAGTAAAATGTATGTAGCTTCTGGTTTTCTACAAAATTTCAAATCTCTGCAGAAATTTTGACACATTTTTATGAATAATCTGCTTATTAAAAGTAAACATGTATTCATTACACATTTTGAATGGGAAGAGAATGGATCTTTTGCATATATTTTGTTGGTAGATGGAAAGTTGCTAACCTGTAAAGATTGGGATTTTCTATAATTAGTCTCGGCAACCTTAAGAGCATGTTTGAGAATTTTCTCTGCTTCTACGATTGTTGTTGCTTCTTCTTCTGCTAAAAGGATGTAGGCTGGAGCACATTCAGGATTCTTTTCAATAGCATTGTGTGCAGCCTTCAAACGAACTGCAGGATTTCTTTCTCTCCAAGCGGTCTGCATTATTTCATACTCAGCCTTACCAGCATCAGCTTCACAAGTAAAAAACGTTTGGTGATCCTGTGCTGACAAATTCATATCATAGTACGTGAGAGGCTCTTTGTTGGTTGCCCAATAAAACCTTTGATACTCTGCGCCGCGATATAAGTTGAAAGGATTTCTCCAAACCTTACACTCTGGTACTGGCGGTTGAGTAGTAGTGGCATTTCCATTATTTGCAGAGCTATTCTCTCCATAATCACCACTGATCCATGGACTAATATGGTTTATAGAAACTTGTTCGATAAAAGAAGTACCATATTTCCTAAAATACCACCATTCAAAAATCAAAATCAGTCCTGAAATAAGAGATGATGTTCCCGTTAAAGCTACGTAGAACTTTGGGGTTAGGGTGCTTAAAAACATTGTGGAGTCCCACATTTTAGGACTTCTTTATTTCACTTAAAATTCATAAAGCCTATCGTTCAGGTTGTACAATTTTTTTCTTGAAAATATTACCACTTTCCACTTGGCCCCTTATGCTGGGTGAAAATTTTCTTCTTCTTTAACGAGCTTCGTTTCCAGTTTTATTCGAGCGGACCATTGTCGCAAGGTGGCGGTGCATTCTTCAAGGTCAAAGTTTTGCATTGAAATGTCGGCGAATAATTGAATATGTCAATGATAAAACCAATTCCCAAAACTTTTGTAGTGAGAGTTGAATCATGTGATATTTGTGTGAAATCCAATAAAGGTTGATTTATAGATTACGTAATGCAACCGTACCGCTAACGCCCACCGTTCCGTAAAACATAAAAGTTCAGATTAACATGCTTTCATTTATAAATGCCACTCCGCAAACGCAACGACGTATCCGTAACGTAACAGATGGTCATGTTTCATCTCTTGCGGAACTATACCTTACGGACAACCAATCAGAGCACGAAATTTCTGTTTTCAACAATTGCCAGTTTGCGTCATGTATCAGATGTCAGTTTTCAATATTGTGATTAGTTTTTAGTTTGTTTAATATAACGTGACACGAAAATGCCACTTCTGAGCTTCCATGGGCTTTGTATTCTTTGGTTGTTATGCCAAAGCATAATCTATTTCTCTTCCATAATTCGATTATTCTGTACTTATGTTGAACTTCCATTGACTTCCATTCCACAACTTCTAGTTGTGGAATTGGCCGCGGTGGTAGTGCGCCCGACTAACGATCGGAAGGCCGTGGCTTCGATTCCCGCCTCGACCAGATATTTTTCTCGAGATAATTCATCTGGTTGAATGTGGGATGATTCTGCAACCGAGTTAGGAATCACACGTTGAAAGGTAAGACTTCGTTAGTCCTTAGCTCGCACAAGTTTCTCAACTTCTGAGAGTTGTCGTTCGTATGGGGGCAACAACTGATTAACGGAAAAACAGATTTTGAACAGATTTTTTTTTAGGCCGAAGACCGTTCAGTTGTAAAACTTGGGTTTTAGATCTAAGAGTCTAAGCAAGCCTCTGAAAATTGACCTTGATATATGCGCACAAACAAAACAATTCATTGTGCGATTTTCAATGAACCGTTAACAAAACCAGAACACGTGTTTCAGTATACAACAGCTTCCTCAGGCATGTTCATACAAGAATACGTGTTGCAGTTTTAAGAACCGTTTGGTGAAAATCACAAGTGTTACTTGAGTTATGGATTTCTATTAAGTATCGGCTAACTCCAATTCCATCACATAAAAGTTGCGAAATTGCTGAATTTACAACTAAATTATCTAAATTTCAGTACGAAAATAAGGTATCGAGTGGCAACCCTGATGACAGATGAAATTCGGAATTCCACATCATAGCCTAGCTAAATTATCTCCAAAATCGAAACGTCATTACTCACAAAATCCACATATTTGTGGGGGTAACAAATTAAAGAAACTTTGAATAACAATTATGTTTTTTAAAAATATCTGAAATTAGGTCCATTGAACAAAAGGTTTAGGTTCAACCAAAAATGGAAAATTTTTCCTGGGTGATCATTCTATTTTTCGGACTTATGCAATACAGTTTATCCACGGAATTAACTTTTGAATTGCCAGATAGTGCCAAAGATTGTTTTTACGAGGAGATTAATAAGAATACTAGTTGTACACTCGAGTTTCAGGTATTTAATGACAAAGTAGTGATTTTGGTACCTTATTTTTTACTATTGATTTTTCCTTTTTTAAGGTTGTAACTGGTGGCCAGTATGATGTAGATGTAATTTTGGAAGATCCAAAAGGAAATATTTTGTACAAACAGGTCAAAATGCAATTTGATTCTCATACATTTGTAGCTCAAACGTCGGGCATCTATAAAGTGTGCTTTAGTAATGAATTTTCTACATTTTCACACAAACTTGTATATATGGATTTCCAAGTGGGCGATGAGCAGCCCTTGCCTGGTATGGGTGAACACGCTACAGTTCTTACTCAGGTAAGAAGTTAATATTCAAAAATCTATAGTAAATATTCCTTTCTAGTGCTTTTAGTTAGTTAGTAATTAAGTTCCTGAAATAGTCGATGTTTCAACTTTTAAGTGAGTCTATCTCTGAAAGTACATTGGAGCTCCCAGTTTTGACTTCAGATTTATGACAAGAATATGAAAGTCTATTTTAAACATTTTTCAAAAATTAGAGAGAGTCTTTGGAACAAATATTTACCAATTCAAAATATAATTTTTTTTACAGTTAGAATCTTCAGCCCAAGAAATCCACAAGTCATTGAGTAGCATTTTGGACTATCAGACGCATCATCGTCTGAGGGAGGCTCAGGGAAGGAAACGTGCTGAGGATTTGAATGAAAGAGTCTTATACTGGTCTATAGTGGAGACTTTAGCTATCTTAACAATAGCATTTGGCCAGGTTTTCATACTGAAAAATTTTTTCACAGATAAGAAACCATATGTACAATTTAAATGATTTGAATGCAAACGAAAAATAATTACCATTATATCAAGTTTTTTAGAAACTACTGTTCTGAAAACATTGACTGTACATATTTAAACTCAACAAGTTTATGTGTGCCAAGCACATATCTAAGTTGACTGTTTACAAAACACTGTGCAATAGTAAAAAATGATTTAGTCTGATTTGAACTAATGTGTTAACATTTTTGGTTTTTTTACTTCCACTTACTTTAGGTGAAGTGTAGAAAATCATTTTCAATATACTTTTTCATTTTTATTGATGAAAGCAGAATCACTAAAAATACACAAGTATTCAATTAGAGGTTTTGATTAATTCTGCCAGTTGCTTTTGTATCAAAATGTACCACCAATTCTCCGTATTTCATTCCAGGTTTGTTGATTTATTCTTTGATTAAGTGTTAAATGATTTATTTATATAAAAATCTTGAAAATAAATAAATTAAAAATGGAAGCATTTTCTATAGTCTCGAACATATCAAATTATGAACCATATATTGTTTAGATTTCTTACTCATTTCATCTATACAGGGTATTCCAAATGGAGATGTCCAGAAATTTTTCTAGATGGAAGCACTTGAGACCAATCAGAATCACGGCGGTGTGTAATAATTTTTGGAGTTGTAACACCACATAATCAATTCATCAAACCAAAACTTGAACATATAACTGTTGATTCTGCTGTTGGTTCCTATGGAAAATAATATCCAAGTAATACTTTTCCCATGCATTTTTTTTTGTATGCTATGCACTGAATAAATATTTTAAGTATGTAGTCCACAAGTAAGTAAGGATAAACAATGCATGTTATAAAAGTTATAAATAAAGACAGACAATTGGATAGTTCAAAAATACGAATGAGTATGAATGAAATGAAACAAAAAACTTACATAATGTGCTTAATTTAGTGTATAATATATTAAATATTGGCCTATAGAAATTCTTCAAGGAAATAGAATTAGTATTTGAGGAGGTATTGCTTTTTCTTGTAAATTTATTCAAACTAAGATTTTTAACTTACTGACAAAGTATTTTGAATAGATTTGAGATTCAATGTATATACAGAAAGTTTGAAACAGGTTGTTCTTATTTGCATAGTGCCTGTGGGGAAGTTGTGAATGTCACAAACCTCTAGGCTATTATAGGATTTGTGAACAAATTGTAACTCTTAACTCTTCAAAATGGTTGGCAGAAGCATTATACCATGTGCCATGAGAGGGTTCAATGTTCTCTAGAAGATATACAATATCCATTGTTGATGCATCGATAACGTTCCTGGACTGCTTGAGAAGAAAAACAAATAAACAAGTTTTTTCTCAGTGCCTTCACTTAATATTTCATCCAATGCAATGCCTAATAACTTTACACTAGACTTTATAGGAGACATTTGTAGACATTACAATATTTTGTGTTTCACTATAATTTGTTTTGAGTTTGCTTTTGTGAAACCACTTATCAGCTCTACCCTCTAAAGAAACAGAGTCTGCTCCGTGAATAAGAAACATTTATTGAGATGTCCGAGAACAGAGCATTGGGGTACATCAAGGGCGACCTACATTTTTTCAGAAGTATTACCACCATAAGAGACTTGTTGGTAGAACTGTTTGAGATAACACTCAATAAGTGATATTCCAGTTCCTCTAAAGCCATTGTAAGATGAATTTTGACTGCACTAAATTAAATTTGTAAGTGGTTTAAGAATAATATCTATAGTTTCTATAATAATTGTAATGTCCATATCAAATGCATGCAAACTATGGTTATTTTTCTTGGACTTGATAGTATCAAGAATATTTTGCTCAATTACTGGTAAAAACAAAATGACGAGGGAACTGGAAAATGCCTTAAATTGAGAAACCTACCTTCGGCCACATCAACAAAACATAAATTGAATTTTATAACTGATAAATATTATTAATGACCCTTCAGATATTTTTTTTTGAGGGGTGTGACTGAACATAATACTTTAGATAGGTGGTAAATTATTTTGTTGTATTTATTCAATATTGAGTTTTCTGCTGAGTTACCCAGGTATTAATGTTTCCACCATTTCACAAATTGTACGGTAACAAATCACGGAAAATAAAGAAAAAGAAAATAATACCCCTCATTTTTATTGCTTGGGTACTAAAGGGGGCTTTTAAATTTAAATATGAAATTGTTCTTCATCAATCATTTCAAGTCGTTAAAATGCATATTTTCGTCATGTGATAAAAATATTATCGATTGATTTCTTAAGGGTGTATGAAACCGCGTTAGATCCCAAAAATAAACCATTCTTGAAAATAAATTGATAACAATACCCAAAAAAAAATTCGTGGATACGGTACTGCGGTTCCACCAAATATATCAGCTACAGGCCCGGATCAGGCGGTGCAAAACAGTTCAGACAGCTGTCAAGTTGACTAATTTTCGTTGTGCTAATTTCGAAGTGTAGCATCTATCTTTCGAGATGGAACAAGTTATAGAAACGATTCTCAATTTTACGAAAGTTCGTAAAAAGCCAAAAGAAGCAGGTCTGGCTATAATATCAACTATTATAGAATACTATGAAATAATGAGAGAATCTTCCAAAGAAAGGAAGGATTAATCAATTTGAAAATAAGTTACTCTATACATGTGAATGATATCTGATTCTTATTCCTCCACGAATGTTCGATATACAAACTGAATAGAGAAAAGTATCTTCTGTATAATTCAGTGTTCATATAAAAAAGCGGATAAGCCTCCACCCATAACCATCCGCGCAAAAGAAAAGTGGAAAGCTTTTAACACGATTGCTGCTGCGCAAAACATCTCCATATTGCGGGCGGTGAACACAACAGATGGAATTAAAGTCCACCTTAAAAATATAGATGATTATAGGAGAATTACTCGGATCCTCGATCAAGAGAAAATACCCTACCACACCTATACAATGAAAAGCGGAATCCATAGAAAGTGACGACATCAAGACTGAACTCCAGGGCAAAGGATTTGAGATTCTTTCCGTATCCCGCCTGAGTAAAGCTAACAACGTACCGATACCGTTCGTGCTTGTTTTAGTTCCAAGGAGCCAAAACAAAATATTAGAGATCACCAAAATTCATAACGTGCGTGTAAGCGCCGAAACACAGAAGCCGAGAAACCGAGCAGGGCAATGTTACAGATGCCAAAAGTTCGGTCACACGCAACGCAACTGATGTAAAGCAGTTCCAGCCTGCGTTAGATGTGCCGGACGGCACATGACCAAGGAATGCAAAAGGTCTAAAAACTCGCCCTTGCGATGCTTCAACTGCAAGGGAGAACACCCAGCAAGCTTCCATGGGTGCCCAGAACGCCCTGAAATCAAAAGGGCCTCAGATAGGCCGAACGAAAACAGACAGACCACAAACCCAAGGCCTGTCGGAAGAAACTCAATCAGGAGCGACGTCTCGTATGCGAGGGCCGTCTCATCGTCAGAGAACGCCTGCAGCTCTCCCGAAGGTCTCCCAACGGCCTTAGGGCAGCTGCAGGCGCTTCTAGCGAAATTTCCGGTACTGCAACCCATGCTTGCCGGAAAATAAAACAAGAAACAGTGCCTAAACGGCCGCAAAGCCAAAGAAGTACGCTGCGACTTCTACACACAGGGCAAAGAGCCAAAAGAAGACGACAGAGGACCATGCAATCAGTTTCAGTTTGTTGAAATAAGAAGGGTAGAGTAAATTCGAAGAGCAATTTTTTTAAGATCAAATCACTAACACTATGAAGCATCAAAAGTTCCTGAGGTGTGTACAGTTTTCTGGTTTGAAACAGTGTTCTAAGCTTTTGACAAGCAGCCTTTGCAATTCCAGCGACATGGTCGTTCCAATGCATTTTGGATTTGGTGTCCATTTTAACCCAGAACAAACTTATCGAAGCAGAAAGCGGAATTGTCTGTCCTGACATTATCATCTCCGGTTCGGAGACATTTATTTATCTTTTTGAAGAAAACCGATGCCTGGGTTTTTGTAGCATTGAATTGAACCTGATTACTTTCACCCCAATTTCTAGATCCTAATTAAGATATGCAACCTCCTGCTGCCGGTGAAGATGTGCATCTGCAGCCGATGCCCTAGAATTCAAATGGAATAACGAGAAAAGTGTGGTGTCGTCGAGCAATATATTGGATTGGATACAAATGCAACACAAATATTAGGAAAAGCATCATGTAAATAATGCTCATAGATCTGCTCCAAGATATAGAAACTGTTAGCATTTTCTATATCATCAAATAAAAGTGGAGCTTGCTCTTTACCGTAGAGTTCCTGACAGAATTTAACGGTGCCTAAATCTCGCTCGTATTTTCGAGCCTGATCTGCTCCATACTTTTGCAGTTCTTCAGTTGAAATTTTCAAAATATTAGTAGCATTAAGAAAATCAAAATTCAAATTCAGCATGGTAGCACAATTAAAACTCTTTTTAATTTCTGATATAATTCGATCAAATACCATCATTATTTCTTTAGAAAATAGTAAAACAGGTTGGAGTGTTTGTAATTCGTCTTCACACATCTCATCGAGATGTTTTTCACTCGATTGATTTCCACCTAGAAGTGGAGCCAACAAAAAAGCAATATACTTTTCGAATCAGTCCAAATAGGTTAGGAATCACACGTTAAAAGACCTCGTTATTCCTTAGCTCGCATAAGTTTCTCAACTTCTGAGAGTTGTCGTTCGTATGGGGGCGGCAGCTGATTAACGGAAAAACAGATTTGTTTTTATACAGCTACCTGGTAGTATGAACACCAACAAGATTTGAGGAGTGAGCAAAACACGGTACGAACTCGGCCAGCTCATTCCTTTCTGCAATTCTGACTTGTACTCCTTCATAGATGCCGGCCATGTTGGACCCATTATTATAAGATTGGCCTCGACATTGTCCAATATCTGATATGCTCGTAAAGTACGAAATAGTATACAAGTACTAAATCGCTGCCGCGACTCCTGGCGGCAAGCGGGGGCGTATTTTGAACTATGCCTGCGCACCTCGCGAATAATAATGTTCGTAACTAGTGTGGGTTAAAGTTAAGTAAATGATGAGTTGTCCATTGTTAATTGTGAATTTGGCCGTCCTATGAACTTGCCGCTTGGGGCATAGGCCCCGGCTGGATTTGGGCCTGATCAGCTATAGTACATTCGGTATTGTATGAGAGTGCGAACATGCCGGTATCACAGTGTATGTGATTCATTCACAAAGTCACTGAGATATTTCTACCTGCATACCCCTTGATGACGCCGCTAAGGAGCCATTAAAATAGTGACAAAGAATGACAAAGTGACAAAGACATTAAAATAGTGACAAAGAATGACAAAGTGACAAAGAACTTCAAAAAGCTTTCGGCTCCAAAAATCTGTTGTTTTCCTGGAGTACCCTAAGAATTCTAAAACTTGATCTATTGACACCGGTCATACTCGCATATTTTTGCACTACTTCCACTTTACTTTTTATTTCGGGAGG